TCCTGCTCCTCTGATGCTGCCTGGCCTGCTGTGCTCCTCCAGCTCCACACTGTGTTATTGCTACATATGAAGAAACTGTTTAGAAAAGTTGCAGCCACGTGCAAGAATTTGATGGATAGCAACTTAGTCATATGCAAAAATAATCTGTTACTCTGTTCGTAACTTTACACATGGTTCTTGTTGTTCCTGATCCATTCATCTTAGCTCAATTTTTCCTTTAGTTGATATCATGGCTTCAGAGCGCGACAGTGATGACGGATTTGTTCAGGTCTCAGCTTCTCAGGAATCAAGCGAATTTATCAGTCAAGTAATTTATCCTTTTCATTACTTTTATTGTATTACAATTGTTAAAACAAAAGCCCTGTCTTCATCTATTGTGACTCATTAATGCCTCAGACTGTTCCCGCTGCGAAGTGCGGTCACGTGAATTCCCTCTCTAAGTGCATTGTGGGTCAACATACAGCATGTGGACTGCAGCAGTTTACAAAGGCAGATTAGCACGAGCAATAAATGCTGGCCAGCCAGCAATGCCCACGTCCCAGGATTGGTTTCAGAAAAAATTTTGAAAACTGCTGATCTGTAAGCCATCATGACAAGTGTTTAGCAAGCAGCAAAAATCCTCTAGTAAGAATTAGTTCATCTGTAATTTGTATTTTTTATTGAAGTACAAATTTTGACTTGGACTTCCGAAAAAGCCTGAAGCTTTTTTTAACTAGTTTGTGAACGACTGACCATGCACCCAAATGCAGATCTGGATCAAAGGCTGTCACGTACTATCTCATTGGCTAACTGGCAGCATTCCTTGAATGTTCAAGTGCCTTTGTATTAGCCTCAATCATAGTGTGTGAGTCCATGCACTTTATTTTGAAGGAAGAGTGACTCACCTAAGCTGACAAGTGACACAGTTTGAGACAAATAGACAAAGCAATTCTATTTAATTGTTGCAAATTAGTAAATACAAATTATTTCTAAAATCATTCTTCGTGTTGAGTTTCTTCTTGGTTTTTGCTGCTATTATTGTTGGAAAATCCTGGATATTGAAGAAAATAAAGTATTGAACTTTAAGTTCTAGCTGTCAGGGAGGTCTTCTAAAATGTGTGGTTTGAGGACAACTGTTAATATATATTGTACTTAGATGCCCAGAAGGTACTTGATAACTTACCATATCGAAGGTTATAGCAGAAAATTAAAACTCATGGTGTGGAGAATAACATACTGGAATGGACAGAAGGTTGACTAGCTAACAGGAAACAAGAATAGGCATAAAACTAACATTTTCTAGTTGCTAAAAAAGAGCAAACCGTGTACCAAAACAATCAGTGCTGGGCCATGACTTGAATAATTTATGGAAGGGACTTGGATGAGGGGAACAAAGATATAATGGCTAAATTTTCTGATGACTTCGACATAAAGTGGAAAATGAGCTGTGAAGTGGACTTGAAGCCACAAAGAGACATATAAAGTCACCCAAGTTCGAGAGGGCCATTGGGGTACTGTCTCAACTGAGAGATACAACTGGTGGGCAGTTTAACCTCAGAGTCAGCACTTCTCAGGCAAAATCAAGAAGGTGGACTTTCATGGTGACCTGAGCAGATAGTGGAATTGAACCTTTGCTGTTGGCATCACTGTGCATTACAAACCCATTAATGACTGGAGTCGACTGATCTCAAGATACAGACAAATACAATGTGGGAAAATGTGAAATTGTTTCTTTTGGCAGGAATAGTTTTCTTTAAAAATGTTTACTGTGTAAATGACGAGAGATTGCAGAGCCCTCATGCATGGGTTATAAAGCAGTTGCAATAAGAACAGCAAGTCATTAGGAAATCTAATAGAATGACTTTTTATTGCTCTTGGAATTGAATATTCAAGGTTACTTCATGCTTAAGGTTGAGTACAAAAAATGAGCTAATGCTTAAAATATTGTGTAATTGGTGATACCACATCTGGAGTTCTGTGCACAGCGTTAATCTTCTTATTTAAGGTGTGGCGAAACTGTGGCTTAAAGAGGTGTATTTTATCCTGGTTTTGTTTTTAATGACGAGAGCTTGAGACCGAGGCAGAGGGCAGTCTGTTCCAAGCCAATAAAGTAAACAGCTTGTGAGCCCTTGGGAGTTTTTGAAAGTGTTGGAACAATAGAAGCAGCATGAATAGATAGAGTCAGGCTCCCACAGAACCAGGGTTTCAGTTTAGCATTAAATATTTGTTGGGGTTTTGAAGCTGGTTGTGAAAGGAGTCTCTCTCCCTGCTGCAGCTAAAAAGCTTGGCTTCTGTTTCTGCTGCCAAAATTGTATGTGTGACAATGATTTTACTGACTTGGCCTTTGCCAAGGAAGTGTTTATGGGATGTTAGTATAATGGTAAAGTTGCTGTTAGTAGTTAAATAATCTATTACTGTGTTAAGTTTTCCACTAGAGTTAAAATTATACCAAATCATCTTTATTTTGTTTGTTTTAATTATAGATATGATAAAGTCTGTTTTGCTTAAAGTCGAGTAGGGTGACTGATCGAATTACATTGGAGCACAGCACTTGACACTTGCCTTTAAATTCGATTAAGGGTTCGGGTCTAGCCTATCTCATTGATATATTTGCAGGGGGTTTGGTTGAGTTCATAACAAAGGGAGGACTAAAGAGTAAGAGGTAACTAGATTGAAACATTTAAGATATTAAGGGTTCTTGACAGGGTGTGGAATTTCTTGTGGGAGATTTTGGAATGAGGGATCACCTTTTAAAAATCTGAGGTAAGACAGCTGGCAAGAATTCTTATAGGGTTGTTAAATTCTGTAGTGTTCATTCTTGAAAGACATAGAAAATAGAGTTTTTGAATCGCGTTAAGGCAGAGTTTGAAGATTCTTGATCAACAAAGTGGTGAACATTTCCCAAGGTAGACAGCAATGTGGAGTAATCAGATCAGCTGTAATCTTGTTGAATGGCAGACCATGTTCTTGGGGTTGAGACACCTATTGCTGCTCTTAATTTGTGTGTTTACATGTTTGAAAGTACAAAACATGGTTGACTTAGGAGCAATATCAGATCAACTTAGAACTGTAAAATAGGCAAATGAATGGCATTTACAACTTACGAGCATGTCATAGAATTTCATACAGCATGTCACAGTGTGGAAGCAGGCCGTTTGGCCCAACAAGCCCACACCCACCCTCAGAGCATCCCACCCAGTTCCATCCCTCATAACCCATCTAATCTACACATCCCTGAACACTATGGGCAATTTAGCATGGCCAGTCGACCTAGCCTACACATTTTTGGACTGTGGGGTAAACCAGAGCACCTGGTGGAAACCCATGCAGATACGGGGAGAATGTGCAAACTCCACACAGACAGTCGCCCAAGGGTGGAATTGAACCAGAGTCCCTGGCACTGTGGGGCAACGGTGCTAACCACTGAGCCACCGTGCCGTCATTAGCCTTCAGACAGAAATTCAAAAAAATGTCATTCTTATCCACTGTAAATTTGGGCATGACCATCAATATAAACTGGTAATTGTTTGAAAGGCAGTGTGTGTGAGGTGCTGTGCTGGGGCTCGTTCATGGGGCCCTAGCTTTGTATGATGTAATACTTTAGTTTAAGGTACAGTGAATTCTGTGGCCAGATTTACAAATCACCAAATAAGACATAGTAGATTGTGTGGATAGAACTGATAAATTACAGTAGGATCATATAGATTTCATGAATGAGCAAAACTGTGACAAATGGAACTTTATTTATGGGGTGTGGGTTGAGATTCGTGGAAAATTATCGCAGAAGTTAAAGTAAGGGGAAGCCTCAGCAGAGGTCATTAATATTTCCAGAGCATGTGGTGGGACAGGGACTATGGAAAGACTCAGGAATCTCATTTCAAGATCAGCAGACAGGCAGACGACTATGCGGGGGGGGTCGGGGTGGTGGTTGTGGTGGTGGTGGATGGGGTCAGTGTAGGACTGAGGGGGTTGTAGTTAAATGCACATTGTACACAGAGCCAAGTAAAGGAGCTTGTATTGTAGTTTGAAATTTATGGGTAAGATATTATGGGTATCACAGAGACATGGGTGGAAGGGGATCAGGGTTGAGAACAATATATCCAAGGACTCTCCCCCTCTGTCAACAAGAGATAAAGGGCGTTGGGTTGCCCAGTTAGAAATGAAATTAAATTAGAAGCAAGAAGTGGTATAGAGTTGGAAGGCTCATAATCTGAGAGTAGAGTTGAGGAACCACAAAGGAAACAAAGGCCCTGAAAGGACTTAGGTACAGGCCTCCGAGCAGTTGTCAGGATATGGGGAACAAAGTAAATTAGGAGATAGAAACGCATGTAAGATAGGCACAATTATGATAATTATGGGAAACTTCAAGGTGCAGATGGACTGGGAAAGTCAGGTTGGTAGCTGATCCCAAGAAAAGGAGTTCCTGGAATGTCTACAAGATGGTTTTTTGGAGGAGCTTGTGATAGAGCCTATTAGGGAACAGCCAGTTCTGGATTTGGTGATCTGTAATGAGACATACTTGATTAGGGAACTAAAGGTGAAGGAATCCCTCGGGAACAATGACCATAATATGATAGAATTGACCCTGCCATTTGAGAAGGAGAAGCTAGAATCAGATTTAATGGTATACAAACAAACAATGAGGGAAGACCTGGTCAGAGTTGAGTGGAAGAGGAAACCAAACAGGGAAGACAGTGAAGCAGCAATGGCAAGAGTTTCTGGGTAGCTCATGTGTAAAAAAAAAAAAACAAATCTGTTAGTCTTCTTTGAGGGGGTAACAAGCAAGTATGTCAAAGGAGAGCCAGTGGATGTCATCACTTTGGATTTCCAGAAGGCCTTTGACTAGTGCGGCACAGGAGACTGGTTCATAGCGAAGAGCCCATGGTGTTATGGGTGAGGTGCTGCCATGGATAGAGGATTGGCTGACTGGCAGATGGCAGAAATTGAGGATGTAAGGATCTTTTTCAGGATAGCAGCTGGTGACTAGTGGGGTCGGTGTTGGGCCCAGAACCATTCACATTATACACTATTAATCTGGATGAAGGAACTGAGCGAATTGTTGCAAAGGTTGCAGATGACGCAAAGATTGGTGGAGGGACAGTTAGTTGTGAGGAATGGTGGAGGCTGTAGAAGGACTTGGAAATGTGAGCAGAGTGAGCAACGAAGTGGCAGATGAAAAATGGTGGGGAAAGTGTGAGATATCGCACTTTGGTAGGAAGAAGAGACTATTTTCTGGATGGTGAAAGGCTTCAGAAATCTGAAGCACAAATGGACTTTGGAGGGAGTCAAGAGAAGGTTTACAAGAATGAATGCTGGAGAGAAAGGGCATGTAATCAGAAGAGCGGTTCAGAACTCTGGTTCTATAGTTGATTTCTAAGCGGTGTCACTGAGGTTGTGCCCTCGCATCCTTATCTCTCCTCCGAGTGCAAGTATCTTTTCCATGTTCTCCCTGTCCAGGCCTCTCAGTATTCCATAAGTTTCAATGAGATCGCCCCTCATCCTTGTATTTTCTTCGGGCAGAGGGTGATGTACGTGTGGAACTCATTGAGACAAAGGGATGTGGAGACCAAGCCATTGGGTGTATTTAAGACAGAGATAGATAGGTTTTTGATTGGTAAATGGATCAAGGATTATGGGGTGAAGACAGGAGAGAAGATTGATAAACACATCAGCCATGACTGAATGGCAGCAAAGGCTACTGGCCGAATGACCTAATTCTGCTCCGACACATCACGGTCTTATGTGGGCATTGCTGGCTAGGACAGATTTATTGCCCACTCTGAATTGTCTTGGAGAAGATGCTGATGAGATGCCTTCCTGAACTGCTGCAGCCCATGAGAGGATAGATAAAGTCCCTTTCCAACATTAATCGATGTAACTATTTTGATTCAGTGACAGTGAAGCAGTATGGATTCATATTCATTGCTCCCATTTCGTTAGACAGCACATCCTCGTATTGATCATGCTGTTGGTCAGGTTCAGCTTTTCAAACCAATCTTTTATTTCTTTGCTCATCCTTTTGCATTGCGTGATCATTTTGCTTGTAATAAATCATTCCTGTATTCCACCGGGTCTCATACCTTAGGTTTGTTTTTTTAAAACGTCCCCTCCCTATTTGGCCTGCATCCAAAGGTAAACACTTGAAACCTTGTCTGATGTTGATGGAATCTATCCATCTGGCATGTTATCTCTATTACCTCTATTGGAGTAAATTTTGCTCCCAGCAATTTGAGAGGAGATTTTTGTCTCCTCTTCTTGTGTTACAATGCAACGGTATGAGCTCTTCTCCAGTAGATGCCACTGCAGAGCTGATTATAAGCTAACAATTGACAATTCTGCTCTAATCGTTGAACAAGTTGTCCTCCAAGATGTTATATATTTTCGTAAAAAAAGGCACCTTTGACTATTATTAATGTTTCTCCAAAGGAAAGGACATATTACAACCTCAAACAGCTGCAGATGATGCCTCTATCCTTTGTCCTTTTATGTTGGCACATATTTTGTGTTGGTTGTGCTCTGAATGAGTTGAAACTGTTGTTCCTGAAGGAATAAAACTTGTTTGTTTTCCTGTTAGGTGAAACGTAGTGACCTCTTATCAACTCTGGCTTTCAGTTCACCATTTGGAGGGGTCAGTCTCTTCTTGGGAAACACTCGACCGTTTGTGGGTCGTTGCTGCTACATCTGTGCACCCCAAAGCTGGGTAAGAGCATTGCATGCCCTTGAGGGAATAGGGAAGTCTAGATGACACAGCTTTTGAAGACAATCAACATTTTATTGACCATGCACTGCTAATAATGTTGGATGATCATTGGGGGAATTAATTTTGACTTCGCACCTCAAGGATCGTAAAGCGGCATTTAGGTAAAAGTAAAGTATTCTTCCTTTTGGAAGAAGTAGTGTTTTTGGTGTTAGTTGTCAACCTGTTCTCTCAGATAATTTTCAATATTTGGCACCATAATCAACAGTGTACACTTTTAAATGGAACGACTGACTTTGGAACAACAAGTTGCATATTATATTTTCCTTCTCTACAATTTCTTTGACAGTTATCTTTTATGTTTCTGCAATAAAATGTACCAGAATTCTCTTGTGAAATACATAATCAACCTCTTAAATGTTTGGAGCTCCCCACAATAAAATTACCTCTATTTCAGGCTTTGCTTTTCCACAATCACTTAGCCTTGCTGGGATTTCGAAATGCCATCCTTGTTACAGAGACACAGACACGGTACGTTGTTAAAGATGAGGACGCAAACACATTGCTGTTTTCACCCGCAGTCAGAATGGATAAAATTAGCTGAGATTTTACTGTTTCAGACTTTGTAGTAAAGGTTCCCACCACCATCACCATCCCCCTCCCCCCTTCCAACAGTTTCCTTGGTAGTTACCAGTGTACTAGTAACACAAATGCTTTTCAAAGTGTGTCTCACTGCCAGGGTCACTTCAAGAAATTAACACATACTTTTGTGCAGGGTGCACTTGTGTTTTTACCCATTTCCATCTGCTCGCTGATGTCTGGTTGCGTTCTTGAAGGACTTCCTGACTCCTTACGGCCTTTGGTTGAAAAATCAATAACAGAGCTGAACTGCAGACGAAACTGAAAGTGACTGCCCTTGATGTCAAGGCAGCATTTGACTAAGTATGTGCAGCAAACAGCTTGAAGTCATTGGGAACATGGTGGAAATCTCCAGTGGTTGAAGGCATGTCCAGCACAAAGAAACATCAGAGGATTGTCGGAGATCAGTCAACTCAGTCCCAGAACATCATGACAGAAGTTGCTCAGGTTAGCGTCCAAAGCTCAGCCATCTTGAATTGCTTGATGAAAGATTCTCCTTCCGTCATCGCATCAGAATTGTGCTTTTTCATTGTTGATTGCACAGTGTTTGGTCCCATTTCTAGCTCCTTGGAAACAACTGAATTATATTCCGCAAGACCTGGACAAGATTCAGGTTGGACTGAAAACTGGCAAGTAGCATTTGCATGAGACCGCTTCGAAGCAAGAACATTTTTGCAACAGAATAGGATCTTAGCCATCTCCCTGAGACATTCAGTGACGTTGCCTGGCATTTGTATGGCATGAGTGTTACTTCCTAGTTTCCAACCCAAACCTAGACATTGTCTGGCAAGTTCCAGAGGGCAAGTCTTGGATTTCAGTTCCAGACAAGGCGTGCTGATTATTTTCTGTCTTTTTGGAGATAGTCATTAGCTGGCACTTGCATGGTGCGAATGTTACGTGCCACTTGTTTGCCCATTTCTGGATATTGACCAGATGCTGTTGCATTTGAACATGAACTGCTTCGGTATCTGAGGAGTTGTGATTGGTGCTGAACATTGTGCTGACAACAGCAAACATCTCCCCGTTTGATGTTATGGAGAGAAGGTCGTTGAAGCTCCTGAAGGTGTTGTGCCTGGGACATTATCCTGAGGAACTCTGCACCACTCCTGTGCAGTGGTAATGTCCCTACCTCTGAGCCAGGAGGTCTGGTCCATGGTAATCAGTGGGACATTTCTTTATCCATGCAACCCGGTGCAATGAGACATCATAGAATTTGGCCTGTTCATTCATTGTCTCTGGGATGTCAATATCTGCCATTTTATTTCTATATCTTTGTGGATTGAAATGAGAAAAGAACTATTTTAAAACCAGCAATTACAAGGATTGCTGTATGATTTGAAAGCAAGTAATTAGATATGTGTGAACATTGTTTGCACAGCTGTAGGTTCCAGTAGTAGTTGCAGACAAACTGGAGCCAAAAGGTTGTGTACAAAGGGAGCATTAGTTAGTAGATTGGTTTGTGGACAAGTGACCAGTTATTGGTGACAAAACCACCCTGTGGCTCTTGCAAACCAGTGAAAGCCTCCAGAGAAGGAAGACCGAGTAACCGCTTTCTGAGCAGCTCCGCAACCCTTGGGTATAGGAATCACTGAACTGCTTTCCCGGTCTTTGCTACTATTTGTCTGACATTGTGTCAGTGCTTGTTAGGGGGAGTTTGAAAGAGGATTTGAGTTTTAATTAGCCCAAGTGATGTGCTGATGGTTTATAATTGTTTTTCTGCAGCATGAGTCTGTTTATTTCAAGTAATCAATGATTTTTATTTTTTGTTTAGTACAGAAATTTGGTCCATGTTTTCTGTCAATTTGCTTTGAAGAAGTGTTAAATTGGGAAATTATGCACTGTTAGAAATGGTGAACATTTGTCATGACTCAAGGAACAGTGGGGCTGAATTTCTAATGTCGTACCCCATTGAATTTTGACAGGGTTGAATTTCTAGAACTCGCCGTTAGCACTTAAATGCATAGAATCCCTGCACTGTAGAAGCAGGCCATTCAACCCATCATTCTGACCCACAGAAGAACATCCTGCCCAGACACATGCCCTAACTTTTCCCCAAAACTGTATTTTCCATAGCTAATCCACCTAACCTGCACAGCTTTGGACTGTGGGAGGAAACCAGAGACCTGGAGGAAACCCACACAAACATGAGGAGGATGTGCAAACTCCACACAGACAGTTGCTTGAGGGTGGAGTTGAACCCAGTTCCCTGGCACTGTGAGGTAGCAGTGCTAACAACTGAGCCACTGTGCTGCCCCTCCCCTATGGAGGTAGTTATACTGCGCAGGTTGCTGTGATTCAAGGAGGTGTCTCATCATCTCGAGCAATTGAGTATTAGCAGTAAATGCTGACCTGGCCTGCAATGCCCATATCCCAAGATTGAATTTTTAAAAAGCCAAATGCTTTTGGCTATTTGAGAGTTTTGAGAGCTTGGCTTCTGGCCAACTTCAAAAAATGTGCAACTGTCAGCATCTGACACAAGTCTGAACAACTTAAGAGTACAATTCTGGCAAGGAGCCACAACACTAGGAATATGACAAACATTGATGCGTTTTTTTTTGTGGTAGTGTCCTCTCAGTTGTGGGTGATGGTACGAAATGATTTATGCAATTCCTTATGTGTTGAAGTCTTGTGCAGTGACTGGGCTGTGATACACATTTTTGGATTCTGTATGCGAGAACAGCATGTCTTCCAATATTTTAAAGCAAAAGCAGATGTCCAGCATTCCACGCTGTCCTTTCAATGTAATACTGATTCATCAAGAAAATGATAAGAAGAACTCGTGTCCTATGCATTCTAGAGGATTTTAGATACTGATGCATATTTTGATGAATTGTGATGACTGAGCGAACAAAATTAATTGGAGTGAAGTTAAGCCCAAACATATTAGTAAACTGATACTACCCATGTCAGTAGTTAGTGATTTTTTTGCATCTGTTTACCTTGACGTTCCACCGATTATTTGTATGTTGTTTATCTTCACCCTGCATATTTCATACTGAGTGGCATCTAGTTAATTCTTGTGAAATACTCTTTACCTAACCGCTCCTATAGATATCGAGGATGGCTGGCTCGACGCCTCTGCTATTTCCTGTTTGTTGTTGGACGCACAGTTTACCCAGATGTCCCCTTTCTGGAACACAGAGTAATCAACAATGCTAGGTGAGAAATTTATTGATACTTATGCTGATTCTGCAGGAGAATTCCGCCACTGCCTTTTCCTTCCATGATAAAACAACTAATTCTGTTTATACAGAGTTCAGGAAGTCATTATGGAGAACTTATGTAACATATCTGACCAGAAGTCACATCATAACATGAGGAACGTACTGGGCATCTTCCACCAGATCCAAGCTATAATCTCACCCCTCTTGCTCAGGTATGAGATCATTTCGCAACCTCGTAAAATGCTGTAAAAATGCTGCTTGTGCGAAACTGGTCCTGCCTCAAAGGTATCTGGTTGTTCTTGCACATTGTGTGTTTCCCCTCAGTACACTTGGGCTCCAAGAAAATGAACTCTTGAGCTACTGCTGATCACTGAACAAGTCTGGATTACTCATGACACCTCAGTGGGTTGATGTACGTTTAGATTTGGATTTACTCAGTTTGCTTCAAGAAACCTTGATGAGCTGTTGATTAACTGAGAGGGAAAGTCCCAATTCAGGATTAAAAGGAAGATTAAAAGTTATGCTAAGTGCAGAATGCAGCACGTTAAATTCCAGTAATGCCTTTATGGTCCTTGAAGATTCTCAACCTTAGTTTGTGGCAAGCTCCCTCGATTCAGCTAAGTAGAGGATGCATGCTATTGAACAGAACATATGTATTCTATATCCAACAAAAAAAATAAATATCTGGATCTCTCTGTTGCTTGGTTTAGAGTCATAAAGTTCTACAGCATGGAAATGGACCCTTCAGTCCATCTTGTCCTTGCTGTCTAGATCTCCAAAATTTATTGCATGATACAGCATTGTGTGTTGGATGCCTAGGTGCAATGAGTCTGTTCTGTTCTTCAGATAAATAAATTTTAGTTTCAGTCAGACTATATGAGTGGCACAGATAACTCCATGGACATCTGGATGAAGTCAAGCAAACGTATTTAAACACAAGGTGTGTTTGACCCTTCCTAGGTTGACTAGTTGGGTGCTGCTGAAAATATTTAACTGGGTTTTCGTGAATCTACAAGTGCATCGAGGGCAAATTGAGATGCTGCGAAAAGCAAGAGAGAAGGTGAGGCACTGATCTTTTACCTATTGGGAGAAATATTGTAGGACAGACAGGTTCCATCTAAGATTTAAAGTTTCTTGTAAAAGGATTGGAAACTGTACCTACTGGGCTATATTGGTTCAAAACATTATCAATGTTCCTTCATGGGATAATTTCCGTCCTGCAGTAAGATACAATACTGGATTTGTTTTTGAGTTAAAGTAGTTGAATAACGGTTAAGTGAGCTGGCACTCTGCATCAGCAGGTGTGCATTGCGTTGCAGCATTCTCTTTTTGCACCCAGTTTACTGGAATTCCCTAAGGAAGCAATATTTATGGATTTGTTTATCTCCAAAAACAGAAGTTGTTGGAAAAGCTCAGCAGGTCTGGCAGCATCTCTGGAGAGAAATCAGAGTTAATGTTTCAGGTTGAGTGATAAGGAAGGGTCACTCGTCCCGAAACGTTAACTCTGATTTCTCTCCACAGGTGCTGCCAGACCTGCTGAGCTTGGCCAACAATTTCTATTTTTTGTTTCTGATTTACAGCATCCGCAGTTCTTTTGGTTTTCATTCGGTTAGTTTTAAATAACTGCAACCAACCATGTTCTTCTTAGAGTGTCAGTTATGCTGTCTTGTCACTGTTTGTTTTCACAACACATGGTGAAAATATAATAACCAATTTTGTCTTGAACTGTATCTGCAATAAATGTGGGCAAATGTTTTTCCTTTTTTTTGACAGTATGATGGCCCATTTGTCTTTCTGCCTCTTCATAAGTCTCGCCTGGACTACCTACTGGTTACCTTTGTCCTTTTTTGCCACAGTATCAGAGTCCCATACTTTACTTGTGGGGAAGATGTCCAACTCCCATTTCTCAGGTAATGACACAAGACCCAGTTCCATGTGTTTTTGTTCCAGTTGGTTTAGATGTGTTCAGCAGTCCCAATGTGAACAGAAGGTTTGTTTGCGTGTACGCGTGTGACTGTCTTTGGGCAGAAAATGATAAGATCAGTTTTCTTCAGACTGGGCCCTTATTACTTTTTGAATTTTCTGCGATGTGTAGATTGAACTTCCAGGAATTGCTTTGTTGAAATGCATCGTGACTTTGTCACATGTTTGTCACTAGCTTAAAATCAGTGCAACCTCTGTGCTTGGATTCCCACGTGTAATGCTGTTTGCGTTCATTTTTTTCACCTGCTCAGGCCTCTGCTTCGGAAATTGGGAGGAATCTTCACTCCACGTGATAGTGGAGACCACTTGTTCCAGGTTGTTTTAAATTCGGTAAGTTTAGAAAAGTTTTCTTTTGCTTTGAAGCACTTTGTGAAATCTGAATTTGCAGCCGTTCACCTCAGAGCCAACTTGAGCTCAACTAAGATGAGTTTGTTTCCTTATTTTGAGCTACTTGGTCATTTTCGATTCCAGCAGATGTAAAAACAGTCTGGAAAGCTGCCTGGAATCCTTTTTGGGAATTGACTAGGCCCTCCAAAATGTAATATTATTCCACTTCAATGCTTGTGGAATGTAATCCATATTATACCACATGTAAAACCTATGGACCTCAGATTTACAGTGGCCTTGAGGATAGAGTGTTTAACCAATATTCTGGTTCAACATGCTGTCCGAGAATGTTAAAAATTTTTGTATTTAGCTCCTCTGATAGTTTGTAGTTACAGTTGGGGTATGAAGCAACACAGAAAATGTCAATCAGGACACAGTTGAAGGAGGAATTCAATTTGGACTGAAACTGTTGAAACCTGATTTAAAATAAGTTCCTTTCTAATAAACAAACATGGTTCACGTAAGCATCCAACTCACATGACTAACAACAGAATCCCACCCTGTTGATGGAAGGACTGTAATATTGTAGTCTGGAAGTTTGACAAGCACAGACTTCCTGCCTGTGCAGCTAAACGTGGCACAGTTGACTGTATTGATCCATTCCTCATATTTTGCAAAACCAGGCGATGGCAAATATTCTTCCATTTTCTCATTGGGAAATATGGAATGAAATACACCCATGGACTAGTTAGCAAAAGTAGCTGGGAATCCACAATTGACCTGAGGATGATCACTTCATTTTTCTTTGGTTCTTCATACTTGCAGCTGAACAATCATTTACCTAAAAGTGAGATTTCAAAGACCAGGAATTGGCATACTGGAGCAAATGGTCAAGCCAGATGCAACATAGAGAATTTACCTGATTGCCTCCTGTACTTACTCCAAATGACCCTTTATTGTCCAATTAGTTAGAGAGACTTATTCTTCAATCTGACTACGTTTGAAGATCTTTGAAATGTTGGAAAAATAGCCTTGTGTGTCTCTCTTACTCTCTCCCCCCACCCCCCACCGCCGACCTCCTTTATTTTCTCCTTTTCTGAAGAGTAAAGTGACAGTACATTGCTCCCATGTCAGTCATAACAGCATCCAAACACTGTTTTGATTCTTGCAATTGTGTATCTGTCATCCAGTTTGTGCTTGAGAAGATCACTCACATGCACAAGGATAACTTCAAGCACTAAGTGTCACCAAACAGTTGCCTGGTGTTGTTCAATACGTGCAGGATTATGTATCAGTAGGCTTTTGCCAAGTTGTTTGGCTGCAGGTCTGAAGGAGTTTGATTTCCCTCACTGTTTTTGATGTTACAGTACATCGAGGAACTCTTGAATGAACAGCAGAGTCTGACGGTTTACCTGAAAGATCCTGTTTCATGTTCTGTGCGTTCAAGTCTCACAGGATTAGTGTGGCTGGCTTGGGTGTTTGATGCTTTTCAGAACCGTTTAATACCAGATGCAGTTCTGATTCCTGTGGGTGTGTCTTATGATCGCATCGTAGAGGAACACTACTTGGAGCAAATGGTAAGATTGCTTGTGTGCAACCTTGGAAAAGACATGAAAATTACTCCGCTTGGTGATTGAGCTTCATCAGACCTGCAAGTGATTTTTGTTTCTGGCTTGTGAAAGAAGCTTAATTCTATCTGAATGTGAATTGTATATGTTTTCTTGTATTCTTTTTCTAATCCTTTAATTTGAGAAGGAATAAGTTTCTCTTAAAAACTTGGAATGTAAAGACTGATGATCAGTAATCTTAATTTTGCACAATCCGAAAACCTACAAATGAGTGAACTTGGAATTGAGTCACTTCTATTCACAAAGCAGGCAGCCCCTTTGCGTACTGTGACAGAAAGGAACAATGATCAGGAAGGCAAGAGAACTTTCTATTCATCACATTGTGATTTGGGATCTTTTCTTTGACGTGAGTAGGCAGAGAGTTGATTTAATTCTTCTTAGACTCATAGTATTGCACCCAAGTGTCAACCTCCATCGCGTGTGTGAGACATTGTGTTTCTGTTTTGCAAACAAGAGCTATCAAATAAGTCAATCGGACACTGGCCTGATATGATTTTCAGTCTGAATGACTTGGGTCTAACACTGAGTTTGTGCTTCATTCACTGATCTTAGCTCAGGCTACAGGAGGGACACTGTCATTGGCCTCAGCTTTTCTTGGGTTAAAGAAGACCAAAGTTGCTGGAGGTTTCATAATCCTGACCAGTAACCGCTAATGAAACTGACCTAAAAAAAATGGGATCCCCAATGATGACTGATGCTCCATGGTACTTTTTCCCATTTAAAAAACTGAAGTTCTGCATTATTTATATGAAATAATGCCATATGTATTATGAAAGAAAAAGAAATCAAAGGAAAATCTCAGCAGGTCTGGCAACATAGTTGGAGAGAAAAGAGAATTAATGTTTTGAGGCTGGTGACTTTTCATCAGAACTGACATCATCTAGGAAAAGGCAGTATTTATTCTGAAGGTGGGGTTTGGAGCAGTGCTGGGGGAAAGGTGAGCGAATAGGTGGACGTGGAGTCCAGAGAGCCCAAGAGATAGAAAAGCAGTTGGCAGATGAGAGGATTATTGAAAGGATGAAAGGGCTGAGATCTATGTGAATGAGTGACAAGAGAAAATGAGATTCGGAGAATGGGTTGGCTGTTCTGAAAGCAACCCATGTCATGCCATAATAGGGCTAAGAGTGGATGAGAGTGGATTGTTTGTGCTGAAAGCAACCTGTGTCATGACAAGACCAGGGTGTGGGGTAGGTTTAAAAAAAAAATGTGGAGAAAAGCAATCAGGCTCTGAAGTTAATGAGCTCAATATTGAGTCCTAGAGACAGAAAGGTTCGCTAGTGGAAAATGAGATGCTGTTCATCAAGCTTGTGCTGAGGCTGACAGGAACACTGCAGCATGCCTGTGACAGACATGTTGGTGTGGGAACACCATGGTGTGTTGAAGTGGCAGGCAAATGGAAGCTTGGGTCATTTCACCCAGGCTGGGTTTCCTCTTCCATCTGTAGAGGAGACCACACTGTGAATATCCTGGATTGAATGAAGACCAGTCTAGTTTGAACAAAGTACAGGTAAATCGTTGCTTCACCTGGAAAGTATATCTAGGGTTTTGGACAATAGGGAGGGAGGAGGTGAATGGGCAAGTGTTAGCCCTCCTGCATTTGTGTGGGATGGTGCCATTGGGATGTGGGGAGATAATGGGAGTGGAGGAGTAGTGTGTTAGTGTCCCGAAGGGAACAGGCCCTGTGAAATGTTGACAAAGGAGAGGAGATGAATATGTGTCTGGTTGTGACATCCCACTGAAGGTGATGGAAATGGTGGCTTACGACTGTTTGGGTGCAGAGGCTGGTAGGGTGGTAAGTCAAGACCAGAGGATCCCTGCCATTGTCGTGGGATGGAAGAGAAGGGGTCAGGGCTGAAGTACGGGAGATGAGTTGGACGTGGCTAACGGCTCTGTCAGCCAGGCTGGTGGGGAATCCTTGGTTGAAGAAGAAGGTGGACATTTCTGAGGCCCCCTGCGGAAGGTAGCATCATCAGATTAGATGTAACAGAGATGGAGAAACTGGCAACATGAGTTGGAGTACTTAAAGGAAACAGGGTGTGAGGATGTATAGTCCTGTTAACTATGGGGGTCAGTAGGTCAGTCGTGGAAACCTGAGACCAGCCTGTCTCCAGAAATGGAAACACATGTTGAGGAAGGGAAGGGAGGAGTCCGAGATGGACCAAGGCCAAGGTGAGAGCAGGGTGGAAATTTGAATTGAAATTGATCAATTATTTCAACTCCAAACAAGACAGGGATGCACTGCCAATGATGTAATTGAATATATCTGAGTAAGAGTTGTTGGTGGTGCCTGAGTAGGATTATAACAAGGAATGTTCCATGTACCCCACAAAGAGACAGTCATAACTGGGGCCCATGGCCACACATTTGATCTGAAGCAAGTGTTAATGTTTGAAGAGAAGTTATTGAAAGTGAGGACGAGCTCAAACGGGTGGAGGAGGGTGGCGGTGGATGGGGACAGTTCAGGCCTTGTTTCCAGGAAGAAGAAAAAAGCACTTAAGACCATTGTGATTGAGTATTTGGAAGGTGGTGATGGTGATGCATATGTAAAGTGACTGCGTGTCCATGGTGAATAGGAGACAGTTAGTATTCTTGAACTGGAAATATTGAAACTGATGTGAAGTGTGAGAAGAATTGTAGATGTAAGTGGTGAGGAACTGGACAACGGGAGAAAAAAAATTCCAGTTGAATTCAAAAAGAATAAGTTCAGTAGGACAGGAACAGGCAGAAACAGTGGGTCTGTCTGGGCAGCCCTGTTTGTGGACTTTAGGGAAAAAGTAGAAGTGGCTGTACAGGACTGGGACTTAGAATCTGTCAGGAGGAGATCCCCAAATGAGCTGAGGTTGGTGACATTGGTATATGCAACAGCCTGATGCCTCATAGTCTGGTCACTATCCAGGGCAGATAGGAGGAAGTCTCCAAGATCTGGTGCTCAGCTTCGACGATGTAGAGGACAGTGTGCTAGACAATAGGAGCACCATCCTTCTTGTCAGGCTTGATGACAAAGACAGGATTGGATCTGTGTGCACAGAGTGGAATCTGTTCCAAGAGCAATTGTTTAGAATGGTGAGGAGGTCAGAGAAATTCAGCCAATCTATGTTACATCAGCAGTTCTAAATGAAGATGTTGAATGAAGTTAAAAGGCCAGTAGAAGGAGTCCAGGTGAAGGGAGAGTGTTGGAGGTGGGTGAAGGTCCCTGTGGGACAGGTAGAAGACTCGTGTCCAAAAGAAATGGGCGTGGAGGTGGAGGTGAAGGAAGAGGAGTTCAGCCTCCTATCGAGCCCAAAATTCATGTACAGAACATTCAGCATCCGAGAGTGGAAGGTCGAGAGGGATTTATTTCATTTGAGTATTCTGAAAAAAGTTTGAGGAAAACTGCATTTAGTGTCATTGTTGCACTAGAATATAAACAGTTTAAGTGAGGAGGAGTAGATCATTGAGCCCCTCCTCTGTTTCTGCTATTCCATGATATCTTGGCTGATCTGATTTTGATCTCAACTCCACATTCTGCCTACCTGTGTTAAACATTGCCCATTGCTGGACCTGAGATTCCTCAATCTTTTTTGGCAGCTTTGACTATTTGTCTGCCTGACCCTGTGGGGCTGATTTGTGTGGAATGTTCAATTAATTGGTGTGGCTGCACCTGGGTATTTCCTGCTTTTATGCAAGGATTGCACATGGCAAAGTGAGGTTACTTTTCTCTGCCCCAATCACCTGTGTTATGATCCTTATAAGGACAAAAACTTAGAATAGAAATATTTGAACTCCCAAAGACTGACTGAAAGGAATTGCAAGGTTTCAAGATTTAAGACTTCTGGTGCAACAACTGAACAGAAAGTGTTACAACATGGAGAAAGACAGCCAAAACAAGTCAGCCTTTCATGCTATAACATCAATAGCCAAACAGAAAACACCGTCCAAAACCGAGTTCAAAACTCTGGTCTCTCCCTGTCAAACTGACTGAGTCCCCACAAGATCCCAGTTACAGTTAACATCTGCCATTTACTTGAGCATGAGGTCTTTTTGAGACTTGCTGGAACTTGTTCCAAGGTCCTGAATATTATTGTTCAACCATGCTATGTTTAAATTTCACAGTCTTCATCAATGAAAAAGCATCTGCAGAACCTTTTGTTCAGGGGTCAACCTGCGATTAACTCCAGATCTGACCTCCCACATGAACAAAAACTTGTTTGTTCTGTTTTTGCAACAGTCCAAATGTTACTGTCAGTTCATAAGTCCCAGTTCACAACTCTAAACCAAAATTGATAAAAGAATGACATAAAAACAACAAAAAATCTGCGGGAAATGTTGACTCACCCCTGTGAAGGATACAACTACAGAAAAGGATCACCCACGTTACTGTATTCGTGTAACTGATAACCACGTGCCGTGTACAAAGTTGTCAGCACACACTCCACATGATTGTGATTTTTAAGGTACGCATCACATTGACACGACCAGCTTCCAATGTAGTTTACATCTTTATGATTTGCTGCGTCATTAGCATTGAGTGTCTTGAAATAGCCTTCTCTTAGTTTTTGTAAAGTTCCTGAACTGACTATCAGTTAAGGTCATTGCAATGATTTATATTTTAGCATTTCCAGGGTAAAACTTCAAAGATGAGTGTCATGGGATGCATCTGTTCAACCAGAGTGTTGTCCTTCTGCATTCTGTCTTGCAGCTCAGAGAAAGACAGGATCCTGTTGTCTATTGACCACACAAGCTACAATCTTTTATTCTCCTGAGAGAGCCTTTTGTCTTTGTGTCCAAAAATAAACTGAGACATGAAGTCTGTCCCAATTTACTCCAGCCGCTGTTGTCTTTGTCTTTGTTTCAAGTGTAAATGTTTTACACTTTGGTCTTGGTGTGCCCTCACCCTGAGTGCTCCAGCCCACATAGTGACCAAGCCGTGCAGACTTGTCGGGCAGAAATCATTGCAAATCACATGACACTTATCACGACCCCATTTTACCTTCAATAGAGACTGTCCCAAAGCATAATCCTCTTGTAAAACCTTGCATTATTGACATCAGATTTGTACAGAATTATGGACACAGCTTCCATTTGACTGAGAAAGTGAGAAGTCCTCAGTAGATGAATAAAAAGGGGTCAACAAAATCTGAAAATCCTTATTTGTTGCTCCACTTAGTTTGATGAAAATGGCTTTATGCCAGAATCTTTCTTGCTTGATGAACAAGGTAACTTTCTGAGGTCTCGGAAGTTCGCTGGCAACATCTTCATGAGAGGACAGGGAGATGTTCTAAGAAAACTTAGTAATGTTTGGTTTGTACCAATGAAGGCATTGACTGTCACACAGCCAGAGTATCACCTCAAAATCTTGAATGCTGACACATTAGATCTTTTGTGGCCCTATATTTGTAACTTGAATGTCATCATTAAATGTTGTAAATTTATGTAGGGAACTGGAAAGACTAGTGTTTTTGGAGCAATTCGTTGGGTGCTCAGATTCCTACAGAAGAGGTACGGCTGCATCCGGGTGGATTTTGGACAACCAGTTTCTCTGAAGGTATAAAGTGGGTTTTTCACTGTTGGAGCACTTTGTTATTGTATATTAAGTGTTATTGCCCATTAATAAAAGCAGGCAGTGAATGTGAATTTCCCTTGAATAATCCAGTTGCATGTGCATCAATTGAGAAATACTTTAGACTTCAAAGTATGTTACTGTTCCGACGACCTGTACAGTTATCAGCAGTCCATTGCGTGAGATGAATCGTGTGGATATATTATTGCCAAAAGAGTATTTGCAACTTTTTGGCTACTTTTGGTACTGTACCGAGATTGGTTGAAGTCACTTTTAACCTGCAATTCGACAAGAACCTGCATTTGTATGGTGCCTTTAAATGATGAAATATTTCAGAAGATTTTTCAAGTATTGTCAAGTAAAATGTGACAGCGAGCCACATAAGGGGATGTAATGTCAGATGACCAAAAACATGACCAGAGCTGGAAGTTTGCAGCGGTGTTCTAGCTGATACAAAAGAAACACTTCACCTTTTCAATATGGGGTGACAGATAAGTTTGCATTTCTTTGAGGAGTCTGGTTCATGTGGGTTTTTCTTTGCCCTAGGATTACGTAGAGAATGAAGGAATTCATTTGTGTACCTCTGCAATTCCGCTTCAGAAGATCTTACTGCCGTATGTGCTCGGATACAGGTGAGAAAAAGAGACATTGAGTGGTTTAAGCACGAAGTGACTCCCAGTTGACCAGAATATTTGTGACCTTCTGCCAATATCTCAGAATGTCCATATTGTAACTCTGTTGGGTCCTCCAACTGAGGTAACTGTGCTTCACCATAGAGAACAAATGAAATCAGAACATCATTTTTTAAGAGTTCTTGAGAGGTGCTGTGCATCATAATGAGTAAGTTAATCCTCAGTGGTACAAACTTAGACTGACTAGAAGATGCCAAGTTCAGTGCTTGTTATAGAGTCAAAGAGTTCTACAGCACGGAAACAGACTCTTAAGTCCAACTCGTCCTTGTCGACCAGATAGCCTAAATCAATCTCGTCCCATTTGCCAGCATTTGGCCTATATCCCTCTGGGCCCTTCCTTTTCATGTACCCATCCAGATGCATTTTTAAATGTTGTATTTGTACCAACCTTCACCACTTTGTCTCAAAGCTTGTTCCGTACACACACCACCCTCTGTGGAAAAGTTGCCCCTGAGGTCCCTTTTATATCTTTCCCTTCTCAACTTAAATCTATGCCTTTTAGTTTTGGACTCCTGTACTGTGGGGTGAAAACCTTGGGTACTCACCCTGTATATGCCCCTTCTTACCTCATGTTAGTAACAGTGGATTTCCAGAAAAATGAGGAACATTACATTCAGAAAAAAAAAGCTGAAAGGAAGTTATTTGGAACAGCTTAACATGGGAGTTGTTTTGAGGGGAGAAGTGGTGGTTGACAGGTGGCAGCATATGAGATTTTCAAAGTTAAGAAACCATTTTATGGCATGAAAACCTTATTTCTGTTGCTCTAAAGATCAGCAACATTGAAGTGTACATTGAGCAGTATTCTTGCGAGAGAGAAGGAAGATGGAGGTTGGAGGAGAACGGTTATACCATCAGTCAGACAATGACAAGTGGACGTTGAGGCATATAGACCATCGTAACTTGAGATTCTTATGTGGTATTTGAAAGGGAAGAACACAAAATCATCCAGAGAAAGGGCACAGGAAAAAGATTTAAAATAAATTTTCAGTGCAAATATGATTAGCACAAAAAACAGAAATAATAACTTGCATTTATATGGTGCCTTTCATGACCTCAGGCTGTTTTAAAAGTGATTTACAGGCAGTGAAGAATTTGGATAATAGCAGCAATGTGATAATGAACAGATCATCATCTTTTTGTTCAGTAATGCTAATTGAGAGATCAACATTGGCGAGGGCACTGAAGATAACTCAAAATCTCCCCTCCCCGACCACATCCCAAAACCAGCCTAGCTTGTCCCTGCCTCCCTAACCTGTTCTTCCTCCCACCTATCCCCTCCTCCCACCCCCATCTCCTACCTACCAGCCTCATCCCGCCCCCTTGACCTGTCCGCCCCCCCTGGACGGACCTATCCCCCCCCCCCAACTCCACACCTACACTCACCTCTACTGGCTCCACCCCTGCCTCTTTGACCTGTCTGTCTCCTCTCCACCTATCTCCTCCTTTATCCATCTTCTATCCGCCTCCCCCTCTCCCTATTTATTTCAGAATCCCCTTCCCCTCCCCCAGTTCTGAAGAAAGGTCTAGACCAGAAACGTCAGCTTTCCTGCTCCTCTGCTGCTTGGCCTGCTGTGTCATCCAGCTCTACACCTTGTTATCTTGGATACTCGTTACTGTGTTGGCAGGGAGGAAACCGTAACTGTCAATTTCTGCACAGCTGGCTCTGCAAACAGCAATGTGATAATGAACAGATTATCTTTTTGTTCAGTAATGTTAATTGAGAAATCAACATTGGTGAGGGCACTGAAGATAACTCCCCTTCTTCAGGATTGTGTCATGGAATCTTGTATAGCAACCTGACAGCAAGGATGGGATTGTGGTTTAACATCCTATCCAAAAGTCAGCACCTGTGGCAGCACAGCCCTCCGTCTGCACTCCAATGAAGTGTGAGCATCGGCCAATTCCCTCAAAACCTTTTCTATTGATGTATCCCGCAACTATTTGATTTGAAGCCGTAAACGATAGTTATGAACCATGGCTGACGCTTCATGGCTTCACAATCTACGATTGAAACCCATACTTTAATGGATATATGTAAAATGTGCAGCAAACAGTTGAATAACATTCAACCTGATAACATGAGGATATTATATGCTAAAATTCATCCCTTAATATACCTGAACTCTCCAGCATTGCACCTTCAGTCTGCTCAGGAGAGCTGCACCCTGTTGGTTCTTAGCATATTCTGCTGGAACGTTCTGACACTCTGGAATGATGCATGGTAATATTGTTGGGAGCCTGGGAATTAGGACCGGCATATAGATTAGATTTCAAATGCTGTTAGCATTGTCCTCCAGTGGTTTCTCATTTACAAATATCATGATTTTAAACTCCAAAGAATTACCTTTCAGGTCGTTCCCTGTTCATTGTTTTCTGAAAAGGTGGAAATTCAAACTTAATACATAGCTGTTCAGACAACTGATAGAAACCAAAAGAACTGCAAATGCTGTGAGTCAGAAACAAACAAATTGCTGGAAAAGCTCAACAATTGTTGTTTGCCATTAACATGTCCTCTATATTTTAAGATAAGGCATTATGTTTCAGCACCGATTCTGTGTACTATGAGAAGTCTCAGGACTGGCTTCTGAACAATGATGAATTGACACAACTCAGCAAACATCATCGAGCACTGGTAGCTGATCTGGGAAGACACATGCTTTACAGTAAGTTGACTGACATTGATGAATACCAGCACATACTATTCAGGGATCTATATTTCTACATGTATCTTTAGCAAGCCATCTGTTCTACTTCAGTTATTTCATGCAATATTTCAATTCTACTTGCACTTGGTGTCAGGTTTGGTGAGTTTTAGCATTTGCCCGAAAAGAAAATGTAATTCTGCCAATGGGAAATAGCAAACTCATTAAACCAGAACTTGGGGAGAAGGCTGCAGGACTCTTGACTGCAGGAGTTTGCAACTAGATGTGACTGGCTGAAGCATCCTACCTCTTAATCTTCGCGTCTAGTTAATGTCTCGTGTTGTTAAAGGTCAGTTGGAGTCACTTAGGAAAGGCAGATGAACAACACTGGTATCAATGTTTAAAATTTGAACCTCCTGAGCTGATTAAACCAGTATGAAATGAATCCAGAAAGTGACCCTGATTCTCCAAGAGCTGTTAGTCTCAGTTTAGAAAGCTGGAAATTTTTCTATTTATTCTGACCTGTGATTAAATGCCCTTGGTCTTGTTCAGGTTATGAAACTGCTTTGAAACTGGTACTACTGTCCTTCTCTTTTAAGCTCCAGTTAGAAGCAGTCCTGAATTATTTTTATTTGAAAGCTCTTTGTCTTTTTTTATCCCATTTTGTGCAACTCTTGAAATCTTGAGTTGAGTAGCCTATAATTCCAAATAAACCACTTCTAGTGAATTTAAAGTTGTGGACTTGTATATTGATCACTTATGGAACCTCATCAGTTCGAAGTTTTAAAACACATAAATAACATGGAAGTGTTCATAAGGATACAGCACAGTTCGCTGCAGAACCGAATATCATGTGCGTTTTTGATTCCTGGTTAGGACAAAATAGACTTCAGTTTTGTCCCTTTGAAACCTTTGGCTGTTGGGGAAGAATGTGTTCTTGAGGAGAAGGTGGTGTAACTGTTTGTTTTAGCCAAATCTTGATTATTTGAAACTAGAGACATATGACAGCAGTCTCCAGCTTAAACTTGTAAATAAGAGCATTAAATACAAAAAGTGAAAGTCAGGCAGAACCTTCTATATGTCTTCCGTCATTCTAACTGCTGCACTTCATAAAGTAAAAGGGGAGGCAAAAGCGCCGTGTATTTGTTGCTGGATCAGTAATCTAGAGGCGCGGAGGTAATGCACTCAAACCGGGTTCTAATCTTGTACAGACCCAATTAGAATTTGAATTCAAAAATCTGTGATTTGGAGGTAATGATAACCATCCAACCATTGTCAAGTGCATTAATGTCCTTGAGGGAAAGAAATCTGCCATCCTCAGGCCGTCTGGCCCATATGTGACTCCAGGCATTTAGTGATATGGTTAACTCTTAAATGCCTCAGAAATAGTTGATCAAATCTTTCAGTTCTATCAAACCGTGAAAGAATTCAAAAATGCAATGAAACCTGCCATTGAACTGGGCATAAAACCAGACCATGTCATGTTCCAGTCATTGCCATCACCTTCTCTGGGTACATCCAGTTCCACAAGTAGGACAGACCCAGTAAAGTTAGTGGCACAGTGGCAGATTGTTGGGAATGAGTTGACTCAGGAGTCTTGGATGTTGACTCTGGACCCCATGAAGTGTCATGGCACCAGGTCAAACATGGGCAGGTGTTCTCCTGTAGTACTGCCATCTTTCAACTGGCGAATATGTATTTCATGTTGAACACCACTTGGAGGAAGCACTTGGCTGGCAAGGGTGTAGACTGTACTTAGAATGGGGACTCACTGAGCATCACCAAGGATGGCTCATCACCAGTACTGCTGTTGGAGCTGGCCAAGTCCTGAATGACATGGCTTCTGAAGTAAGTTTGTGGCAGATGATGAGGGAACCAACAAGAGGGGAAACCTATTTGACTTTGTCATTACCATTCATGCTGTCACAGATGCATGTGACTATCACACACCTTGTAGAAACAGTGTGATTCGGGCACATTGAGGATATCCACCACCATATTATACAGTGCTATCAGTATGCTAAAGGGGATAAATTTCAAACAGATCTAGCAATTCCAGACTGGGTATCCATGAGGCAGTGTGGGCCAGCATCAGCAGCAGCATTGTACTTCAATATAATCTGCAACATCATGGCTCAGCATAGCTCCCACTTTGTCATATGCCATCTATCTCTGCCATCTCTACCATCAAACAGGGGATCAGCCTGTTGCAGTGAAGAGGGCTAAGCAATACCATAATCAACAGATGAGATCTAAGGTCTGCACTTCTACTTGCTGTAGTCATGAATGGTGCTGAGCAATTAATTAACTCACTGGAAGAGGAGGCTCCACAAATATCCCCATCTTCAATGATGAGGCAGCCACACATATCAGTGCGAAAGATAAGGCTGAAGCATTTGCAACAATCTTCAGTTAGGTGTGCCAAGTGGATGATCCACCTCAAACTTCTCTGGAGATTCCCAGCATCACAAATGCTAGCCTTCAGCCAATTCGATTGATTCCACGTGATATCAAGAAACAGCCTGGAGGTTAGCGAGGCTTGGGCTGATAAGTGTCAAGTCATGTTTGTGCCACACAGGGGTGCCAGGCAGTAGCCATTTCCAGGCAGAGAGAATCTTAACCATTGACCATGACATTGAACAGCAATACCATGGCTGAATTCTTCACTATCAAGATCGTGGGGGTTACCGTTGACCAGAAACTGAATTCGACTAACCATATAAGTACTGTGGCAAGAAAGAGCAGGCCAGAAGTTCAGAATCCTGCGATGAGTAATTAACCCCTGATTCCCCAAAGCCAGTCCACCATTTACAATGCTCCAGCAACACTCAAGCAGCTTGACACAAAGCAGCCTGCTTGATTGGCACTCCCTCAACCACTGACACATAGTAGCTCCAGTGTATGTCATCCACGTTGCACTGCAGAAATTCACCAAAGTTTTTAGACAACACTTTCCAAAGCCAGAACATTTACCATCGAGAAGAACAAAGGCAGTAAATCCTTGGGAACACCGCCACCTGCAATTTCCAACCCAAACCAGTCACTATCTTGACTTGGAAGTACATTCTTGCTCCTTCATTGTTGCTGAGTCAAATCTTGGAATTCCCTCTCAAACAGCATTGTGGGTGTACTGACACCATATGGACTGTAGCTGTTCAAGAAGGCAGTTCACCATGACCTTTTAAAGTGCTCTTGCATTTGAGCATTAACTGCTGGCCCTGCCAGAAAAGCCCACATGCCCTGAATGAAGGAAAATAAATGAAAAAATATGTGACTGCCTTGGATAGAGTCAGAGAACGGTTATTGGTGTCGACCATGACTGAGAAACTTCAGCTAGGTGGTGAAATTGGAACAGCCAGGAACAGAGAAGGTTAAGGGGATATTAATAGTTTGTCAAACAATGTGGTTTGCACAGAGCAAATGGAAACTGTTCCAGCTGACAAGTGGTTGCGTAACCAGAGGTCATAAGCATAAAGTAAAGGTCAAAGGAAATTGATGGGAAGTGTCAAGAAATCTTGACAGAGTTGTCAATAGTTGGACTGCAGTACTTGAAATCAGTTCCGTCAACTGTAAACAAAATTGGACGTGTTCTTGAAGAGGGCTAATCTGTGATATTATTAAGAAAAATGATGGTGTAGTGGATTAATTTGATCAGATTTTCCACGCTCAAGATGAATCAAATGGCTTCTTCACATTATAAGATGCTGTGAGACAACCAGTGCAGTTAGGGTGCTCCACAGAGAACACTTGTCACTGAGAACTTCAATTTGTTGTGACTAATATCTACTCTTACTTTCTGATAGCTGCTTCTTGCTGCTCGGCAGTTATGTCGACCACCATCATGGCCTGCCTTCTGTTTCACAAGCATCGACAGGTAGGATGTGTCTGTGATTGGTAACTTAATTTGAGTTATAACGAGTGCTCTAATCCTGAAAATGTCTACTTTTTGAATATTTTTAGAAGATTGCTGAAAAATGAGCAATTCTGTTCATGACTGAAATGAGCAATGTATATTAGCCATTAACATTTTTAATCCAATCTTTCTCCAGGGCATACTGCTTAGCACATTAGCAAAGGATTTCTGCTGGTTAATGAATGAGGTTCTCGCACGGCATTTTGATGTGGGATTTTCAGGGAAGCTGCTGGATATTGTGCTGCATGCCCTTTTCTTGCTGGGAGAATGTGTAATACTGAGGAGCTGTCCGCTGAATAATCTAATTGTGATACCAAAGACAACCAGGAAAGCTGTGGAGAAGCTTAGTTTTTACAGTAATTCTATTCTACCTGTCTTTATCGGTGAGGCAGTAGCTGGTAAGTGGCAAATCATCTCTGTATTGAGGAAAATAGAGAAAAAGGAAATGCACATTTGTAAAAGAATGGAGTAAATTTTTGGGTGAGAACCTCCATTCCACAGCAAGTGGTTGTACTCCGTTAACATTGCTTTCTGTCACTCTGGTGCTCACCATTGTGTTGTGCAATTCCAGTATTTATTTCTGCTTTGGGCACTCATGCTGTGTTTTCTTCATTTATTCCACTTTTGAGTCTGTGTGCAAATGAACAGATGAGAAAAATGCCCATAGATTTTTCATTTTAAAGTTCAGTAACAACTTTGTCCTCTTCAGCTGTGTTTATTACTTGCTGTTAGATAATGTTGCTGATTGTGTATTGTGTTGGTATGAGGAGTTTTTATCATGGAAAGGAGTAAAAATTGATGCTGTCCATGCTTCAGAACAGCAAACAATTCCCACCTGTCTGATTACAGAGGTGGTGTGATGGCACTCGAAGATGGCCCAAGTGTGCAGGACAGTAATGAGCATATGTGGTGTATTACTTTGGACTCTTCCCATTTTAAAACTATCATCTCTTTTCTTTCAGCCTGCGCTTTAAATTCAATTTTAAGGGAAGTGGCTAAAAACATGGTGGACTTTGACTCCAATGCAGAAGTTGCAATCAGCCAAGAAGAACTTATCTGTAAAACTGTTCAGCTGTGTCAGTTACTGTCCACTGAGACACTGCTTCTACCAGTAAGAACAGTATCAGTTTCTATTCAAACATTAAAACAGAAGTTGTTGCTAAGGAATGGAGTGGTTTTAAGTTAGGGAATTGAAAAGAGTCAACCATATTGAATTGAATTGAATGATTTATTGTCACTTGCATTTTAGAATATTAAATACAGCAAAAGGCTTCAAATGTTGCCATAGTCTGGTGCCATTTTGAATAGTTCAGGATAATAAGAGTAAAAAGATAGAACTGAAAAAGAATCGATCTTCTTTTCGTTGCCTCCACCATGAGTCCTGAGCTGGCTCATCAGTGACCCCCGTGTGCACGTACACACACGCACACCCACCCACCACTAACCCCTCCCCGAAAAAAATCTACCTCGCCATCATCTGCACCGGACCCGCTAATTGGAGCAGTCGCCACTCTTAGTTGCAGCTGGATCCACCTCGCCATTGCTGAGTTCCATGCTGAACCCACAGTCACCCTGCAAATGAATACAGTTGAAAGTAGCCAGCATAAGTTTCTTAATGGACATTTGTGTCTGACAAAGCTGAGCAAGCAGTGATGTGGTTGAAACAATGGACACGATGAATGTAATGCTCTGTACAGATACTTCAAGAAAAAAGACCACACAATTGGTGGCCGTGCTTTTAGAAGTTTTGGCGTTAAATTCTAGAATGATGTTTGTGCACCTCTACATAGCTTAATTCTTTGTGTCCCCCTTAACCCTATATTATTTGACTCAGTTTTTAGGCACTACTTATAATACCTCTTTGGCTGAGCATTCATTTCTTGTTTGTTACATAAAGCAACTTGGCACTTTTTTCAGTTTTAATGTACTGCATAAATTCAGCTTTTGACATACAGAGAGTTTGAATCATTGTGGAGTGGTCTTATTCAGCATCATCGTCTTTTCCTGTGCCTGAAAGATTTCTATTAAAAACAACATTTATTTTCAGTTGTTTCCTCGTTTTCCACCACAACAATCTGTACTTTACTTGAATCTCCTGCAGCCCTGCCGATCAGTGTACCAGTTTTCACAGGAAGCAGTGGACAAGCTGATGTATTGTGAGATTCTTATCATGGAGGAGGTACGATCGTTTTTCTGGTGGTTGTTCTGATAAGAGGGTGGCTTGTGGGAGTTCTTGTTTTGTTTCAGTCGTCATTGGAAATATGGGTTCTGTGGTTGTAAACAGCAATGTGAAAGGGTATTCCTGAGATTATCCAGATCTTAAACCCGGAGCAATTAGATTGACAAAATGATCAACAAAACAGTTGGGATCTTGAGAGTAAAGAAGCAACAAATTTGCAGTGAGTATATACAGAATACGAGTTTGACCTCAACAAGATTGTTGTGTCCAGTTCTGGGCACCACATTTCATGAAATATGCGGCAGCATGTGCCACCATGCAGAATGTTTCTTGAAAATGGTTGTAGAGATGAAGAACCTCTCTCAAGGAGAGAAGATTGAGAGGAGATTTTGTCAAGGTGTTGTGAGTCATGAGCCTTCTGGACAGACGAGATAAGTTGACAATGTTCTTTGTGGTTGAAGGATGGAAAGGCGAGTGTTCTCAACACATTTCAATAAAACATTTTGATAGTGTGGTTATAATCTGAGATGCACTATTTTTAAGTATAGTGGAGGCAAAGTTATATAACAGTTCAAGAAAGAATTGGATAATTATCTGCGAAGAGAAGTAATTGTAGGGTGGTGAGCAAGTATGACTAGTTGAATTGTTCTTAGAGAGCCAGCACAGACATGATGGACCAAACAGCCTCTTGCTGTTCTCTAACAGTTAAATAATCCCACAGTTTCTGTCCAGATTGTAAATAAAAAAAAAAAAAAAAAAAAATGTTTGTTACATTTGAAATCAAAACAGAAATTGTGGAGAAACTCTGTTTCTCTGAAGAAGGGTCCACACATGTTGCCAGGCCTGCTGAGTTTCTCCAGCAACTTCTGTTTTTGTTTCAGATTTCCAGCATCTGCAATTCTTTGTACTTTTTTTTTGTTTTGTACGTGAACTGCTTTTGAATGTTGGAGAGAAATGATATCTGTCGTCTTCTACTTCGGAGACTTGGAATGTGGACTGTGGAGACAAGGAGAGCACTTCCTGAGACAAATTAACTTTCACATCTATCTTTGAATGTTTTTCCCCTAATGCTTCTACGAAATGTTGGGTTATATATGTGTATCCATACTTACATTGAAATCTATCTGTGTGATTATCATCATAGAATCATCATAGAATCCCTGCAGTGTGGAATAAGGGAAAGGACACAGTGACCACATTGTATATGTTTACTGATTCTATGCATCCAATCCTCTTAAACACCTAATCAGTGATGGGCACTCCTTTGGACAGCTGCAGATTCTCATGATCTCATGGTGTCTAATAGACATTGTAATCTCCAACCTTAGGATCTTTCTATGCATCCTTTTAATTTGCATTCCAAAGTTACTGGCTATACTCATTTGGACATGTCCCAGACTTGCTCATCTCTAAGGACTGCTTGAATCCTGTTGCCCCTTGTATTCCTTTGCTATATCTATCAAATTCTGTTACTCCTCTTATTTTCCAAGTGTCCTAATTATAGATTTAAAAAACTCGAAAGGCAGTTGGGTTTTACTAACTGCTATAAGATTCATCATATGAATTTCTATTATAAAATTAGTTATATGTAAAGCTTTACAGCTACGTCTACTGTTAGATTGTTTGCAACTCCTTAGTTAAAGAGTGCCATCAGTAGACATGGTGAAATGTAAAGTTTTACAGCTAACTTTATAATAGAACAGTCTATTTAGTACAGGACATGTCAGGCATCTTTTTAGAGATAAGGAGAGCACTTCCTGAGAAGAATTAACTTCCACATCTATCTTTGAATGTTTTCCCCTAATGTTTCTACGAAATGTTGGGTTATATATGTGTATCCATAATTACATTGAAATCTATCTGTGTGATTATCGTCATAGAATCATCATAGAATCCCTGCAGTGTGGAATCAGGCCCTTCGTCCAATAAGTCCACATTGACCCACAGAGCATCCCACCCACACCCATACCCCTATAACCCACCTAATCTACACATCCCTGAAGACTGTGGGCAATTTAGCATGGCCAATCCGCCTTGCCTGCACATCTTTGGACTGTGGGAGGAAACCGGAGCACCCGGAGAAAACCCGTGCAGACTCGGGGAGAATGTGCAAACTCCACACAGAGAATCACCCCAGGGTGGAATCGAACCTGGGTCCCTGGCGCTGTGAGCCAGCAGTGCTAACCACTGAGTCACCATGCCACTCCAAAGATTATCTGAAGGATCTTTAACTAGAACCTATTAATATTTTGAATAACTTCACAGTAACAACTGATAACTCAAATCAGCATTAACTGTATGCTATGTTAGGCTGACTGTCTCATGGAGTGAGATTTACACCCCTTGTTCCAACTGACGCTGTTCACCTAATGGGACAAAATCCTTTCATTAATGAAGCTGGAATCAATCACTTGTCATAATTTAACTTGTGTCTGTCCTTAAACATCATCTTATTGAATTGTCTCTGGCTGTTTGCCTCCCGTTCACCTTGGAGTAACCGTGTTCAGAGGTACCATTGTGTTTCACTTAAATGTTGGAGCAGGTGTTTCTGTCTTGTTGGCCAATTGTGTCATTCAAATATGGGCAGCCCTACAACAAAGAACAAAGAAAATTACAGCACAGGAACAGGCCCTTCAGCCCTCCAAGCCTGCGCCTATCCAGATCCTCTATCTAAACCTGCCGCCTATTTTCCAAGGATCTGTTTCCTTCTGCTCCCTGCCCATTCATGTATCTGTCTAGATACATCTTAAATGACGCTATCGTGCCCGCCACTACCACCTCCGCTGGCAATGCGTTCCAGGCACCCACCAGCCTCTGCGTAAAGAACTTTCCACGCATATCGCCTTTAAACTTTTCCCCTCTCACCTTGAAATCGTGACCCCTAGTAATTGAGTCCCCTACTCTGGGAAAAAGCTTCTTGCTATCCACCCTGTCTGTACCTCTCATGATTTTGTAGACCTCAATCAGGTCCCCCCCCTCAACCTCCGTCTTCCGAATGTAAATAATCCTAATCGACTCAACCTCTCTTCATAGCTAGCGCCCTCCATACCAGGCAACATCCTGGTGAACCTCCTGTGCACCCTCTCCAAAGCATCCACTTCCTTTTGGTAATGTGGCGACCAGAACTGTACACAGTATTCCAGATGTGGTCGAACCAAAGTCCTATACAACTATATAACATGACCTGCCAACTCTTGAACTCAATACCCCATCCGATGAATGAAAGCATGCTGTATGCCTTCTTGACCACTCTATCGACCTGCGTTGCCACCTTCAGGGTACAATGGTCCTGAACATCCAGATCTCTCTGTGTATCAATTTTCCCCAGGGGCTTTTGCATTTACCATATAGTTCGCTCTTGAATTGGATCTTCCAAAATGCATCACCTTGCATTTGCCTGGATTGAACTCCATCTGCCATTTCTCCTCCCAACTCTGCAATCTATATATATTCTGCTGCATTCTCCGACAGTCCCCTTCACTATTTGCTACTCCGCCAATCTTAGTGTCGTCTGCAAACTTGCTAATCAGACCATCTATACCTTCCTCCAGATCGTTTATGTATTATCACAAACAACAGTGGTCCCAACACAGATCCCTGTGGAACACCACTGGTCACAGTTCTCCATTATGAGAAACTCTTCTTCCACTAAATCCCTCTGTCTCCTGTTGCCCAGCCAGTTCTCTATCCATCTAGCTAGTACACCCTGGACCCCATGCGACTTCATTTTCTCCATCAGCCTACCACGAGGAACCTTATCAAATGCCTTACTGAAGTCCATGTATTTGACATCCACAGCCCTTCCCTCATGTATCAACTTTGTCACTTCCTCGAAGAATTCTATCAAGTTGGTAAGACATGACCTTCCCTGCACAAAACCATGCTGCCTATCACTAATAAGCCCACTTTCTTCCAAATGTAAATAGATCCTATCCCTCAGTATCTTCTCCAGCAGCTTCCTCACCACTGACGTCAGGCTCACCGGTCTATAATTACCTGGATTATCCTTGCTACCCTTCTTAAACAAGGGGACGACATTAGCAATTCTCCAGTCCTCCGGGACCTCACCCGTGCTCAAGGATGCTGCAAAGATATCTGTTAAGGCCCCAGTTATTTCCTGTCTCGCTTCCCTTAGTAACCTGGGTTAGATCCCATCCAGATCTGGGGACTTGTCCACCCTAATGCCTTTTAGAATACCCAACACCTCCCCCCCCCCCCCCCCCGCCCCCCATCCTTATGCCGACTTGACCTAGAGTAATCAAACATCTATCCCTGACCTCAACATCCGTCATGTCTCTCTCCTCAGTGAATACTGATGTAAAGTACTCATTAAGAATCTCACTCATTTTCTCTGACTCCTCGCATAACTTCCCTCCTTTGTCCTTGAGTAGGCCAACCCTTTCTGTAGTTACCCTCTTGCTCCTTATGTATAAATAAAAGGCTTTGGGATTTTCCTTAACCCTGTTTGCTAAAGATATTTCATGACCGCTTTTAGCGCCCTTAATTCTTCGTTTCAGATTGGTCCTACTTCCCCGATATTCTTCCAAAGCTTCGTCTGTTTTCAGTGGCCTCGACCTTATGTATGCTTCCTTTTTCCTATTTGCTCGTCTCTCAATTTCACCTGTCATCCATGGTTCCCTAATCTTGCCCTTTCTATCCTTCATTTTCACAGGGACATGTCTGTCCTGCACTCTAATCAACCTCTCTTGAAAAGCCTCCCACGTATCAAATGTGGATTTACCCTCAAACAGCTGCTCCCAATCCACATTCCCCAGCTCCTGCCGAATTTTGCTTGAGTTGGCCTTCCCCCAATATAGCACTCTTCTTTTCGGACCACTCTCGTCTTTGTCCATCAGTATTCTCAAACTTACGGAATTGTCATCACTATTCCCAAAATAATCCCCTCCTGAAACTTCAGCCACCTGGCTGGGCTCATTCCCCAACACCAGGTCCAGTATGCCCCCTTCCCGAGTTGGACTATTTACATACTGCTCTAGAAAACCCTCCTGGATGCTCCTTACAAATTCTGTTCCATCTAAACCCCTAACACTAAGTGAATCCCAGTCAATGTTGGGAAAATTAAAATCTCCCATCATCAACACCCTGTTGCTCCTGCATCTTTCCATAATCTGTCTACATATTTGTACCTCTATCTCACGCTCGCTGTTCAGAGGCCTGTAGTACAGCCCCAACATTGTTACCACACCCTTCCTATTTCTAAGCTCTGCCCGTATTGCCTCACTGCTCGAGTCTTCCATAGTGCCCTCCTTCAGCACAGCTGTGATATCCTCTTCGACCAGTAATGCAACTCTTCCACCCCTTTTACCTCCCTCCTCTATCCCGCCTGAAGCATCTATATCCTGGGATACTTGGTTGCCGATCTTGCCCTTCCCTCAACCAAGTCTCAGTAATAGCAATAACATCATACTCCCAGGTACTAATCCAAGCCCGAATGCATACAAAAGTGTGAGAGGCAAATTGTTAGTTTGTATTCTTCTTGTGCACAGGATCAGTTGATTGAAATGACAGTCTACAGCCTATTGAGGACAAACTAGTGAAGGTAATTTGTCACTAGTAAAGTAGCCAGTAGTCCAGATTTAAAGACCATAAATGTGACAGTTGCCAATGAAGTCCATCAGAAACTCACTGGTTAGGTTGTGAAACTCAACTACAAGGAGTAGTTGGGACAAACAGCACAGAAACATTTATATGGAAGCTCGGTAAGCATATGGGAGAGTAAGGAATGTGAGGTTGTGCTGCTAAGATTAGAATGGGAAAGAATGTTGTGGAGCATTAATCCTGGCATGAAGCATTTGGTTTGTATGACTTTTTTCTGCAAATTCCACTTCGTCGTGCGTAATACTACATGGACTCATCTGATGGTGAATGAATGGAATGCACAGTGTGGAATGTGCATTGACCTCTGCATGTCGGGTTTAAGAGGGTGAAGGACATAGACGATTGTGATTGTAAGAAGCTGAAGTGTCATGTTGGCTAAAGGATGATGCTTGACTGTGATCATCTCCAACAAAGACTCAGTCTGGACTCTTACAAAAACGACTCCTGAGTTTGTGTACCAGGGAAGTTGTTAAAACAGGCTGTAGCAGTTTAGATGCTGATCCAATGTTTATTCACCAGCCAGCTGCAACATTTTAAGAAGTAATGTCTCTGGGTAGAAGTGGGCAAAAAATTGGCAGATGGTGCTCAATATAAGTGTGAAATTGTCTATTTGGACAGAATGTATAGCAAAGCACTACACTAGTTAAATTGAAAGAAATTGCAGAACTTCATGATATAGAGGGATCTGGATGTCTGGTACATAAATCACATAAAGGTATTACGTAGTGAAAGCAAGTGATTTGGAAGGTGTGCGAAATGTCCTTGTTTATTGCGAGGAGAATGGGAACATCAAGGCAGGGAAGTCGAACCAAAGTTGGACAGTGCATTGCTCAGAGCATATCTGAAGTGCTGTGTACAGATTTTGTCTCCTTACTTGAAGAAAGATATAATTGCTTTAGGATCAATTGAGTGAAGGTTCACTTGACTCTTTGCAGTGATGGAAGACACAACAGGCTTGGCTTAAGTCAATTGGGGTTTAGAATGGTGAAGGTAACCTTTTTGAAATACGTAGCATTTCGAGGAAACGAGATAGGGTGGATACCTGTTGAAGTTCTCTCTTTTTTAGAGAGGCAAAAACTAGCATGGATTACAGACATTCCATTTGAGAGATGAGAATATTTTTCATTCGCAAATTTCAAACATGAACAATTTCTTTCTTGGAAGGCCGTGGAAGCTGAGTATTTAGAAGTATTTGACACAAAGTTGGACAGATTTCTGACTGCCTTGAGAGTCAAGGGAACTTTTGGGTGCAGACAGGAAAGTGAAGATGGGATCGAAAACAAATTAATCATAGTCTTGTTGAATGGTGGTGCAGACTCAAAGCACCAGATAGCCTTAGTTCTTATGCAATTGTCCTGAAATTTCTGCTTTTTCTCCTCTGTTTGTAGAATGAGAACAAACAGCCAGCATGTGACACGTGGCAGAAACAGTTTGGCAAGGAGCTAACATGGAAGGTGATGGATGATTTTGATGACTCTGAGAGTGACGCTGATGAAACAGTCTGGAAGTGCTATTTTAAGGTATAACACTCATTTCCAAGTCTAGCTACAGTAACAGTGTTCTTTATCCTTTCTGCTGTGAAGGCCTTCAACAATGTACATAACACTCAGTGTTGAAACTGCAAATTTCATTGCAGAATAACTAGACTAACAGAACAACACAGATTTTTTTGGCTGAGCGTTGGATATAATGGTGGACAGCCACTGGAAGCCAAAATGGCACAATGATGTGAATCTTTTGAGAAGTTGATTGATTGCACGAGAGCAGGGTTTTGACTTGAGTTAGTATTTCCGATTAAAAGCACAGTAGCAAGCTATGTAAACATTCATGGGGGTATGTCTTTGCATTTTGGCTGGTTGCACACGGTGAGACAGCAATAAATCCAAGAGTAGAACAAGAATTGTATCTTTGGTCTTGTTTCTTCTTTTGTTGAACTCGCTTTGCCAGCAGGTGCCTAATGTGTTGTTATCTTATTTTCAGCTTGGCCAAACCCAGGAAAGCCACACATTTTACCTTTTTCTCTGTAGTTTGTTGCAGCCTGTATTGAAAGCATATGAGACAGCAGCAGGTTTGCTCCACAAATTGGACTTTCCAATTGAAGGTACTATTGTGTTGAACTATTGTTGAATGGTCAAATAATTCATAAGATCAGGGTTTTGTTTTATAGAATGCTGTCCTTTGGCTTGTGTCCATCTGTCAGGAAATGATAGAGTTGAGCAGACCCCACCTGTTTTCTTCTGACTGTTCATGATTTTGGAATGTCACCAATGGTTTTGTGTGTCATGGGTCTGAGTGGGAAGCTCAAGAAATGCCACCTTTGAAACTGAGACATGCCGAAGTTGGAATCTATGCTGATATGAATGAACAAAATAATCACCTCAGTGTTATGCTCTTTGGGGTAAATCTGAATGTGAAGGCTTACCGAGTGCACTCCTTTTGTTTGGCTTACCTGTGTTTAACAAGAATTTTACAAGAAGCATTACGTGCAGCTCTTAATTCTCCACTTGGTGTGAATTGAGATATCTAGAAGGAGAACATAGCCCTTTTGACAGGACTTCATGCTGCTCTTGTGCTATTTCTTTCAGAGTCACAGTGTGTGCTGAAGATGTTACAGCTTTTGCATGCACAGGGAGAAGAACAGCATGGTGAGTCAATCAATATGACAAAGATTTGAATCAACAACTTGCTCATGTACCACCCCATATGCACAGGAAGGAATGATTACAGCTACAGTGTTCATAGCATACTGTTTATGAGAAAAAATGGTGTCGCTGTTTTAAATTTGGTTGGCAGTGTGAGTTTCCTTTGGCTGATATCAACCGTTGTTTGAGATGTGGCTTTTATCCACTGAGCAAAACTGCAAGATTTTGGGTTCACTTCAACTTGAATTGTAAGACCTCACTCAATTACACAGCCTAGTAATTTATCTTATATTTTTGCAATAAAAATTACTACTTTATTCATAACACATTTATCTGTAAGTACATGCAAAGGATTCTCAATCTGTTCCATACAATCTTTGTGGGGTGAAAAAAGAGGCATAAATGACAGCCAGAAATTTGACATCCCACAAAGCAACTGTGCAATTGCAAAAAAAAATGGCATTTTTAAACCCATGCGGGTAAAATATTTATATTCATTTTGTGGCAATGATGGGAACTGAGAACTGAATGAATCCCTGTCATTCTTTGGCAGACCAAAGAGCATCTTTAACTGAGTCAATGGTCCTTCAGGCCCAGTTGATGTATGTTTCTGTGTGTGTCCTGGGTAACAGCTCATGGAGCATAGAGTCCTGTATCAGAGAGCTGATAGGGACAATCCTCGGATAGGACGATAGCTTTGCATCTCTCTTCAGATCTTTTTGATAAAGGCACATTGCAGAAGGAGGTGTATGACAGTGTCTTTCCAAGCCGCTTCAAGGGCAGCATGGAGAGAGTACCGGTGGACTTGAAGGATCTCACAGGCAGTGCCCTTCTTGCTACGAGCCAAGCCACATCTTGGTGCTTGCTGGAAAGCTTTGGCGATGAGGCATTCTGCCAAATTATTTCAACAGTCTTGCTCAGGGAACCACCTAACAGGATCCTTTTCCCACAGGGGCTCGAGGACATTACACACTACATGCTGACCACTGCCAGATGGAGGTGTGGTCAAATATGTTTCCTTGGCAGATTTTTACATGAGGGCCAGTGATATGAAATGGTTCAACGACTTGGAATATTCTATGGCACTGAGGCCAGACCCATCCTTAGCAACACTGGGGACAGGTAGAACCTCAGTACACAATGTCACTCGGTGCTCGCGTACCAAGGATTAACACAGCTTGATGCAGCCACACACAGTGGCCATCAGGATGAAGGTGATGTTGGATATGTATCCAACCAACAACCCCATCCCCATCCTCAGAACTTCATAGATGTTTTCCATGCAGACAAAATCCACCTTGACCTCCAAATCATGTAGAAAATGGCTCGGGTGACTGCTGAGGCACAGGCCTGCAGAATGGGCCAAACTTCCACCTTGTACAACAACAAGGAGAGTACCTCACACCTGATGATGAGGCTTTCACCCAAAATGGAGAGGGAGTGGTGCTTCCATCTGCCTAGTTTCTGCCTCACCTTGGCAACATGCACTTCCCAGGTTTTAGTGCAAGCCACGTAACCGGCCACTTTGAGTAGTCTGATCCAATTGCAGATTTTGGAGAGCCCACCCCACATGTGCTTGTGCGATATCCTGTCAAAGGCCTTCTCGTGGTCCATGCTGATGAGGCAGGTGTGCACCCCGTTGTCGTGCACATAGGCGATCGGATCCCTGAGGAGTGCGAGGCTCTCAGAGGTTGCCCTGCCCAGTACAGCACACATTTGTTCGGGATGAATCACTGATCCCAAAGCAGACCTGACCTGGTTGGCAATGATCTTACACAGGATTTTGTCACCTGCATTCAGCAATGAAATTGATTGCTAATTTCTAATTTCCTTCCTCTTCCCCCTTCTGCTTTTAGATTAGGGTGATAGATTTGCACATGCTACCTCCCAGAAGCATACTGTTGTACACCTCCTGCAAGTCCTGGCCAATCAAGTCCCACCAAGGTGACTACACCTCAGCTGGCAAGCAGTCACTTCTGGGAGTTTATTCTTTTCAAAGAACTCGAGGGTCTTGGTCAGCTCATTCAGACGTAATGGCTGGTCCAGCCTCTTCCATAGGATATAGTAATAGAGGACAGCAGTGACTGGGAGGCCACGCTGTCTGTGGGCTTCGTGTCATACATTCTGGCGTAAAAAGATTTGGAGATCCTCAGGACGTCAGACTGAGATGACTTAACCAAGCCATCTTCTTTAAGGCTGCTAATCGCAGAACTCTCCCTGTGCACCTTCTGGAAAAAGAAACACGAGCACACTGCATCCTGCTCCACAGTGCAGATCCTGGACCGGAAGATTATCTTCAAGGCCTCCGAGGCAAAGAGTGAGGCTTGCTGGCTCTTCACCTCCTGGAGATCCCCATCAACCCCCATCAACTGCAACGGGAGTAAGCTCTGCCTGCTTTTCGGGAATTTGGACAGTTTTTCCCGTCTGTCTCTCACGTTCCGAATACCTTTGAACATAAAGAACCTCTTGAAGTTCCCATTGACTCTCTCCCACCAGTCTGCTGGAGAGTCAAAGAGGGGCTTCACGATTCTCCAACCTGTATAATCCCTTTTGAGCTCCTCAGTGTTTTCTGGGGTCAATAGTTTTACGTTCAGCTTCCACATTCCCTTGCAGGTCGTCCTTTAGGTGACAGTCAGCCAGCCGGAGGCAGTGGTCAGCGAAAAACACCACCTTGACATTGGCGGATCTGACCGAGAACATGTGGGATACCAACAGGAAATCTATCCTGGAGTAGATAGGCCCGTCCATGCTGCACATCATCTGCAGGGGTGCTTAAGATATGATGCAGCTTGGTGACTTCAACTGTTTCCATCAGGAATCTGGATGTGGCTCCCAGTTGCTGTCAGCCCCTCCGAATCGTCCATCCACATCCAGTGATGCAGTTGAAATCTCTGGCCAGAATGTTGCCAGCAGCAGTTCCTGATGGCTGGAGTTTGGGTTTCACCGGACTGCTCACAATGTCCGGTGCTGCTGGGTTGGGTGGTACTCCTCCCCTTCTCCCCTGTGGTACTCTGCCTCTTGTTTTTGTTGCTGGGCATCCATCTGCATGACTTCATCAGAGAAGCTGCTGGTGTGTCCATCATACACCTGCCTCTTTCCGTTATGCAGTGAGCCCATGGGGGCCTGTCATGTTTTCCTTTTCCAGTTGTTTCTGACCAGTATCCACTCCCCCGCCACCTTAATTTACTCCTCCATTGACTTTGTTTGTTCAGGTGGATGATGGATCAGTTGTTGTACTTCCACATTGATAACCACAATCGAGCAATGATCTTAAGATCTTCTAATGATGAAAATTCTCAGCTCAGACTTAACCTGGGAGAACCATCTTCTGGATCATGATGTCTCAGTTGCCAGTCTGCAACACTAGAGTCAGTCAATTGTGAATCTATGTGAGCATCTTAAATGTGAGACATTTGAAGAGAAAGGAGATGTACGTTCATCAACCTGACTGTGTTCTTGACATCCTTGCCTGGAGTATGGGCACTTGCAGTGTTCATAGCTCTGTTTGGCTGTGTGCTGCATTGGCATGAAGCTGAAGCCAACATTGAGATCCACCACTAGCAGCTCAGCTCAAGCAACAATCCTCCAACATTCATACACATTCCAGCAATGATCTCAAAACCCTCTGATGACTTTGGCTCAGACCAAGTCTAAGAGTTGCAAAGGGCTGGATTCAGTCAGTTCATGATTGAATGCCAGCTCCTGATTACTGGCTAACCTGATATGTATCCTGATATGATATATATTCCACATCAAACAGATGTTCACCTGCACATCTGCTAGTGTGGTATATGGTATCCGCTGTTCCCGTTGTGGCCTCCTCTACATCGGGGAAACCAAGCGGAGGCTTGGGGACCGCTTTGTGGAACACCTACGCTCGGTTCGCACCAACAGTTGCACCTCCCAGTCGCGAACCATTTCAATTCCCCCTCCCACTCCTTGGACGACATGTCCATCCTGGGCCTCCTGCAGTGCCACAGTGATGTCACCCGAAGGTTGCAGGAACAGCATCTCATATTTCGCTTGGGAAGCCTGCAGCCCAATGGTATCAATGTGGACTTCACAAGCTTCAAAATCTCCCCTCCCCCGACCGCACCCCAAAACCAGCCCAGCTCGTACCCGCCTCCCTAACCTGTCCTCCCAGCTATCCAATCCTCCCACCTCAAGCCCCACCCCCATCTCCTACCTACTAGCCTTGTCCCGCCTCCTTCACCTGTCTATCCTCCCTGGACCGACCTATCCCCTCCCTACCTCCCCGCCTACAATCACCTTTACTAGCTCCAACCCCGCCTCCTTGACCTGTCTGTCTCTTCTCTTCTCCACTTTTCTTCTCTCTTCAACCTCTATCCGCCTCCCCCTCTCTCCCTATTTATTTCAGAATCCCCTTCCCCTCCCCCATTTCTGAAGAAGGGTCTAGATCCGAAACGTCAGTTTTCCTGCTCCTCTGATGCTGCTTGGCCTGCTGTGTTCATCCAGCTCTACACCTTGTTGTCTCAGATTCTCCAGCATTGGCAGCTCCTACTATCTCTGATATGTGTCTCTTGTTTGGTTTTGTTTACTGAAGTCCTTCTTTTGTTGTCAGTCCTATTTTCGGAACTCAAAAATAGTCCACACTCATTACCCTTGCTCTCCACAACTGCTTGTGCATGACGAGAGGTATCCTTAACTCTTAATTGGCTTGCCAATACATGATCTGTGCATGATCAGTCTTCGATTAGTTAAACAGTAAATTCCTGATTAGTTGCTTTAATGACATCACTTAGCACCGTCACCTGGTTTTATTTCTTTATTGTCACATGTATTTTGTTACAAAATACAGTGAAAAGTGTTATGTAGTGTTGGCGCTCTCCAGCACTGTCTTAAAGCACAGATGCTTATAACATGAATCACTTGTAAAATCAACCTCTTTATGATGGCTTGTCCATTTAATCTGAGTAAGTTCACAGATTTTACCAGGTTTTTCCAGTGGCACCACTGGAATCATATCAACTCGAATCTGATGTGTCTAAATATTCTGCAAAATTCCAATTCTAATCTGTGTCTTTTAAGTAAACAATCTGTGTCACTCCACAACAAGTCTTCATGCCTGAAACAAGTTATCTCAAGTACTTTCAGAAAACCATGCATGCTTATTTTGTTCTGTGAACAGAACCAAGTCCCACCATCAAGAATTGGACCTTAGCCACACATTGAAGTTACAGGGTCCTGCTAAAAGATGCAGAAAATTGATGAAGCTCACAAGAACAGTACAGAGCTAACATATATTGGTCTAATGCATACCTAAAGTTACAGAAGTAATCCATTTTAAAACATAGTTCTGACCTTGAGGAGAAACATTTTAAATCAAAGCATTTTCACATTTGTAAACCTGACTTTGCATTACGTTGGGCCATAAAACCAGAAACCCATGACTGATTTTTGATGAGGACCATTATGGTTGTTTTTCCTGAATGACAAAGAGTTTTATAACTAAAACTCTTTAAACAGAGTTTAAACAGAAATTAATTTAATTCTTCGCTTGTTAAATCGGGTCCTTGTTGTGCTTTACCATGACTTCCTGTGGAGATTTTTGAAACAATTTATCAGTGACAAAGACGAGGCTGAAGTATTGGCAACCAACTTCAGCTGAAAATACTGAACAGACGATCCATCTCGCTCTCCTCCTTAGGTATGTATTGTCGTGGATGCCAGCAATTTCCATCCATCTGATTCAACCCATGCGATATCAAGAAATAGCTGAAGTTACTGGATACAACAAAGGCAATGTGTTCTGACCACATTCCTGTGTGCAGCAATGAAAACTGTTGTTCCAGAACTCGCGAGGCTTTTAACCAAGATATCCAGTACAGTAATATACCTTTGACTAACGAACAGTGTAGAAAATTGCCCAAGTATGTTCAACCTTGGGGGGAAAAAAAAGGGCAAGTCCACTGTGACCTTGCAAATCTAAACCTCTGCCATCCAGAATAGCAGATGCTTGGAGAGACTATCACCTGCAAGTTCCTGTCAAATCTCTGACCATCTTGACTTGGAACTCTCTCACTTCTTCATTTATAGCTGGATTATAAACCTGATTAATAACACTGCCTGTGCACCTGCATAACATAGGCTGCAGTGTTCAAGAAGGTAGCTCACCACCACTTGTTCGATGGCAATTAAGGATAGATAATAAATGTTTGACAGGAAGTGATTGTCACACCTCGAATATGATTGATTTAAAAGATGAACAGTGAGGCATGTTTTTTGTGAAGATAAGTTTAGATTTGAATGCATGCATCACTGAGGATTTTCTAACATTTTACAGAAAGTGCAACATTCAGCATTGCAAACAGCGCTATTAAGACCTTCAGGGAATTGGGGGTAAGTGAAATTCTTTGTCTGAGGAGCTTGGCTACAAATTTTAATCAGACTTCATTCAGAAAATAACTGAGTCATGGTTTGATCCCATGCCCCTCCTGAGCTGTATGTTGTCTGCTTGGGCACGGCAATCGGCTCAGTGCCCGTAGGTTACGGAGAAAAATTGTCCTGCAGATTCTTTCTTATGGTCGCCATGCAATGATCCATGAGCGTGGTGTTGGTGAATGGTTTTTGGTAATTTGCAGTGTTCCACAGGGTCACTCGCCAACCAATACTAAGCCCACCAATACTCTGTGCTGGGTGTTAATGCAGAATTCATTGCTGGATGGCTAGTTTGCAAAACAGTGATACCAACAGCATGGGTTCAATCCTTGCACTGGCTAAGGTTAGCATGAAGAACTCCTCCTCAACCTTTCCCCTTGCCTGAGGCATGGTGTCGCTCAAGGTAATCCACCACAACTCATCTCTCTCTCTCTGAGTCTCTGTCTCTGTCTCATGAGAGAGCCGCCTTGTAGTCTGGTAGGATTACAACGACTTTCAGACATGAGAACTCGGAGCAGGAAAGAGGAGACAATTCGCCCCTTAACTCTGTCCATCTTTTGATAGGATCATGGTTGATCCCACCTCCGCTTCAACTCCTTTCCTGCGTGCTCTTCATAACCCTTCAACCCATTACAAATTAAAAATTTGTCTATCTCTCTGTGAAATTTACTCGGTGTCCCAGCATCCACTGCACTCTGGGGTGGTGAATTCTACAGATTTGTGATCCTTCAAGAGAAGTAATTTTTTGTTACCTCTCCTTTAAATCTGCAACCCCTTTCCTGAAACTGTGACCAAATGTTATAGACTGCCCCACAGGAAGAAATATCTTTTCTACATGCACTTGTCAATTTCCTTTTACATCTTGTATCTGAATTAGACCTCCTCTCAATCTTGTAAATTTGAGATCCTCTCGGCCTAATTCCTCTTCATAAGACAAACGTCACATCTCTGGAATCAATCTAGTGAACTTCGTCTAAACTGCCTCCGATGGAGCTACATCCCTTCTCAAGTAAGGGGACTAAAATTTTTTGCAGTATTCCAAGTGCAGTTTAACAAATACCTTGTACAGTTGCAGCAACACATCCCTGATTTTATACTCAATTTCTTTCACAATAAATGCCAAAATTCCATTTGCTTTCCTTGTTACTTGCTGAAACTGCATGCCACGTTTCTGCGCTTTATTTATGAGGACACCCAGGTCCTTGTGCACCAAAGTATTCTGAGGTTTTTGTCCATTTAACAAATAAATTGCATTTATATTCCTCTGACCAAATTTGATAACCTCACAATTATCCATGTTATGTTTGAGTTGCCAAATTTTGTCCCAATCTCACAACCTATCTAAGTCCATTTGTAAATTTACCTTTACCTTTAAACGTAAAGTTTAGTGTTGCAGGTTTTTTTAAAAATTGGTTTTATTAACTTTTTTTTTAGTGCATACCAATCCTTGGCATGTTATGAGGTAGATTTGCAAGTAATTATTGAAGATACAGTCACCAAACCCATTTCCTGTCACTTCTAGGTTTTCAAAGAGGAGCCAGGAACAAAGGGACCCTTATTGAAACTCGGTGAAACTTTTCAGGAACCTGATAATTTACTGAAGCTCCAGTGGTACATTCAACAATTCTGCGATTAAAGCTAAAAGAAAAATAACTGGTAAACAGTTCTTCTTTACGTTTGACTGAACCAGATGAGAGATTGTCGGGATTTTTTTGCAGTGGTCACTACTTTGGTCATCCCTCGGAGAAAAGGACCCCCAGCTTCTGTAAGATTAAACATTTCCATGCATTCTGCTCTGGGCTGCTGTTGCCTCCCTGATAGGTGGAAAGCCGAGTTTAAAACCATGTTGCTTTTCACCCCACATCATGAAAGGCTGAAAATCAAAACCATTTTTCAAAAAAAAAAATTCATGGGATATGGCATCGCTGGCTTGGCCACCGTTTATTACCCATCCCTAATGGGTCGTGAGAAGGTGGTTTTCAGCTGTCTTGAGTTGCTGCAGTGCTTGTGGTCAAGGCACACCCACAGAAGAAACTGGAATCATGATTGTGCGTAAAGCCCTTGAATTATCTTGTCATGAGAAAATTCTTGAAAGTTGTGTGTAAAAAGGGCAGAATTGTATTTCAACTTAAATGGAAAAAAATACAACTCATGGTAATTTCACTGGTTATTTTTGACTTTGTTGCCTTGTGTTACTTCAGTGCTTAAATAAAATGAGGTGATCAATATTTGAGTGCGACCAATCTTCCATGTCTGTCCTTAATGGAAATAATGATGTTGCAAGCACAGCTATGGTGCTTCTTGTTTTAAGTCGAATTGAGAGCTCTTGAAAACTGTGCCTCTTGAATCATTAGGGAGGTAATGGCTCAGTGGTATTATTGCTGGACTGTTAACCCAGAGACCCAGATAATATTGTGCGGACTTGGGTTTGAATCCTGCCGTGGCAGATGGTGGAATTTGAATTAAATAAATATCTGGAATTAAGAATCTAATGATGACCATGAATCCATTGTCAATTGTTGGAAAAACCCATCTCATTCACTAATGCCCTTTAGGGAAGGAAACTGTCATCCTTAGCTGGTATGGCTGACATGTGACTCCAGACCTACAACAACGTGTTTGACTCTTAACTGCCCTCTGGGCAATAAATGTTGCCTGACTGGCAATGCCCGCATACTGTGAATGAATAAAGAAAAAGGAAAACAGTGCACACTTCATTTGAGATCAATAAAAGTCGGTGAATGGAGTGTTTGTGCACACTTTGAACTTACTTTATGTTTTATCTCACTCTTTCCCTCACTATTAGCTCACTGCAGCATCTCTTTTTGAGAAGAACCCAAACCTTGCACACTTGTGTCAACACAGAAACTGAAATCCTCGGATGAAGTTGGGATCTTCCAGTCTTGATGGTTCATGTGTCCACCAAATGATTTTGCATTAAAAATTTCCAAAACATATTAGAATTTAAGGGTAGCTCATTAAAATGCTTTAGATTTATATACATTTTTCATTTTGTGGTAGTTTTTCACAGATGAGGTCTAATATTGGCAGATCCTTAGCTGCTCACCTCGCCTATATCTGTGAAGTCACCCTTAAACTTGGGGAAATGGTATAAACTGGTAAACACAGGTCATACTTGTTTCTAAATCATGGAGATTTATCACAGGATTTGCAGTTGTTTGTAAATTGTAGACGCTCTGGGCTGTGAGACTTTGCAACTGTCAGAGAAACACATCAGGTACTAAGTTAAACTGATTCTTAATTGCTGGTCACCTTTTTTTGATCAGGGCCTTAATGTCTGTAATTTTTCAGTCTTCTGGCAATTCGTCTGAGTCAAGGCAAGACTGAAACAATAGGACCAGTGCTCCTGCATTCGCCATTCTCACTTCCTGTAAAATCCTTGGATACATCTCATCAGTCCTGGTTCTTTGTCAACTCTAAGTACAACAATCTATGCAATACTTCTTCCTGATAAATTTTGAACCATCTCGTGACCTGCTATGCCAGCATTTCCCTCTTTGGTAAACACAGATCCAAAGTATTAATTTAACACCTCATCATGCCCATTGATTCTGTCTTTGCCATTTGAGGTCTCTCATCAGCTGTACTCCTCCATTTTTTAAAAATTCACTCATGGGACTTGGGCATCACTGGCTGGCTCACATTTTTTTTTTCCATTCCTAGTTGCCTTGAGAAGCAGGTGGTGAGCTGCCTTCTTGAATTGCTGCTGGTTTAGGTTGACCACAGTGTCCATGGGGAGGGAATTCTGGGAATTTGATGCAGTGTCGTATATTTCTAACTCAGGATGGTGAGTGGCTTCGAGGACAGCTTGCAGGTCCTGGCTTTCCTATGTATCTGCTGCCCTTGTCCTTGTATGGTCATGGGCTTGGGAGGTGCTGCCTGTGGATCTTGGGTGATTTTCTGTGGTGCATCTTGAGAATGGTACACACTGATGCTGCTGAGCATCGGTGGTGGAAGGAGTGAACGCGTGTGGTTGTGGTACCAAACAAGCGGGCTGCTTTGTCCTGGATCGTAACAAGCTTCTTGAGTGTTGTTGGAACTACCCATCCAGGCAAATGGAAAGTATTCCATCGCATTCCTGACTTATGCCTTGTAGATGATGGATAGGCTTTGAGGAGTCAGGAGGTTGAGTTAGCCATTGCAGTATTCTGGCCTCTGTCCTGCTCTTCGATCCACTATTTATATGGCGAGTCCGTTCCTGTTCAATGATAACTCCCAGGATGGTAATAGTAGGGTTTTCATTGGCTGTCAAGCAGCAGTGGTTAGATTGTCTCTTATTGGAGATGATCATTGCCTGGCATTTGTGTGGTGTGAATGTCACTTGCCACTACTCAGCACAGGCCTGAATATTGCCCAGAACATAGACTTGCTGAACATTGTGCAGTCATCAGCAACATATCCACTTCTGACTTCAGGATGGAGGGAAGGTCATTGATGAAGCAGCTGAAGATGGTTGGGCCTAGGACACTACCCTGAGGAACTTCTGCAGATATGTCCTGGAGTTGAGATGACTAAGCTTCAACAACCACAAGCATCTTCCTGCCTGCCTTTTGCTATGGACAGAATTGATGCTGTACATCCTTTCCTTTGGTTGGTGGTTTACAGATTACACCGAGCAATGTAATTTTATCCTTTTTGATTCTGAGCTCTTACCGAATTGATTCCATCCTTGAACGCTCTGAGACACCCTTTAACTCCAGCACTGTCGTGGTTCCTTTAGAAACTCTGCTACCCCTCCTCCGTTTCCTCCTTTTCTATCCTTACTTAACACCTTGTACCCAGGAATATTTCACAACCCAGCCTTTCCCTTCCTTGAGCAAGGCCTCTGTTTGGGTCACAACATTATGTTATAAAGTGGAGGCCAACTCCCCCTCGCTGAACAACTAAAACTGAAACGCCCAGAGAGTCTCACCTCACCTCATCATATATTAAAAGAAGTGTGAAATGTGGTATAACCTGCATCTCCCCTCCCAATCTGTTATAAAGGGGTGGTTAAATAAAATGAAATCCTTTCAATCTTTCTACAATCAACAAGTAACAATTTATTTATCTAACTCTAACAGTGAACAAATGAACAGAACAACTAACAACCCGAACAATTCTCCCTCAAGTACTAACTATTGCCAACCAAAACAAAACTCTAATGGTATGCTGTTCCAACAAATACAAGTCCCACTTAGATAAACCAAAATTTTTTAAAAATTAAAACTTAATCCCTTGAAATTACAGCCAGGACATGTCTTCTAGAGTGCTCCACGCCCACTCCGCTGATGCTCAGTCAGGAATGCCTCTCTCCAGTGACTTCTTGTGTCAGGAATATTAGCTAGGAGTGCCTCAATACCTTTCGTGAGATGATGGTTACGCTGAAAATTTGGAGAATTCTGTGAGAGCCAGTAATTTTCTCTTTAGAACTGATGGGTTGTTAACTCAATTCGATGGCAGTTGCTCCTACCCTGATTTTCAAATGCCATGTTCTTTTACATCCTTGATGAGTTATCAGTTTCTTAGAATAGGATTGGTTCTAGGTTGTCAAAACCATCAGATTTAAATTTATTTGGTTTTGAGACATTTAGTGCTTGGTTTAAATTTAATTAGCTGATATTCAAACTGGCTGCTGCAACAAACTACTGTCTAGGTTGTAAACTCCACAGCCCCCTGATAGAAATGTTTGAATTTCAGGAACTTTCTGTGCATCTGCTGCTTCTTGCAGGCATTTTTTTTAATCTCTCCAAGCCTAGAAAAACAACATCATCTTTTCAAGGGACCGTGCACTCTTCTTTCCACCTTCCCCACACATCCCCCCCCCCCCCCCCCCCCCAATCATTTTTCAAACATCAAGTTTCAGCAGCCTGCCTTCCAATGTACAAATACTCTACCCAACTTGGCAACACCGCTCCCCCCACCTTCAGAAAAAAAGAAGCATCATGATGAAAAGATGGCTTCATTTTTATTTTTCTTATTTTTCCTAAACCTTAATGCAACTATTACTAGATCTATAGGTCATTAATCTAGAGTTACACATTTCATTGTATACTAATTGCATATACAAATATGACACGGAACACTACTGTTCCTGTTCATGTACACATTTTTCTTTCAAACCTGAGATAACACATCCGCAATAACATTTTCACGACCTGCAATATGTACAGTCTGTAGATTAAATGCTTGTAACATAAGACTCCAATGAAATAGTGTGGTGTTCTTATCTTCAAATCTTTCCAAAAATTCAATGGGTTGCAATCAGTATACACAACTGTCTCTGATATGTTATTTGCAACATAAACATTGAAACGTTGGAAGGCATAACTCTTTTTCAACAGTTGAATATTATCTCTGGTGGACATTGAGTTTCTTTGAAAAATAACCAATTGGCCTTTCAATTGCACAATCGTCCTCCTGTAAAATACCGCCCCAACCCTGACATTGCTTGTGTTGATAGCAACTGTAAAGGATTTCAAGATATTTGGCGTGGCTAAAGCTGGTGCAGTGGTTAACACTGTTTTTAAATTCTCAAATGCCTCCTGGCATTGTTTTGTCCACCAAAATTTCATGTTCTTCTTTAACAAATCAGTCAGTGGTGCCAGCAAACTACTGAAGTTTCGTACAAATTTCCTGTAGAATCCGCTTAGTCGCTTACATTGGAAGGCAGGCCGCTGAAACTTGATGTTTGAAAAATCGGAGCACCTCTTTCTTTGAAGATATTTTGGAATTTCATCGATGGCTTTCATCTTCACCTTCCTCTGTGTCATCATCCGTGTCTGATGTTGTGTCCTACAAATGTCACTTCTGCCTTCACGAATTCTGTTTTTGCTACATTTATGATTAATTTTGCCTTCCATAGTCTCAAAGTTCTGCCAAATACGCCTTGTGGTCTTTCCATGAATGGCTAAAGATCACTAACTCATCGATTATAGATGGCACAGTTAGTCAATCCTGCCACAACTCTATTCATCAGTCTTTGAAATGTGCCTGGTGCATTCTTCATTCCAAATGGCATTATCTGAACCCCTTCTGTACTTGTGTTGCTTTGAGAGGATTAAGCCTGTACAGATGTTGTTTTATCAGAACTGCATTCCCTATCTCAACCTCATCTACTATAATATTAGTCCGCCTCATCTACTTCTACGTATGTCCTCATAGTGCTGCAACAAGCCTTTCAGTTCAGTTCTCTGTTCCTCAGACAGATAGCTTCTTACCCT